CAAAATCATTCACTTCTATACGATGGCGATCAAATTGATGCCGTTTACGAAACATGCTGAATTACCAAATATTTAAACAATAAGCTTAGCAACAATTTCAAAATTGGGTCAGTACGATCATGATTACTGCTCTAATATATAATTTCCTACTTTCCTGTTAGGACTAAAAGAGCGAATAAGCATGAAAACAACCGGTAGATTTATGCACCAAATATTTAATACTTAAAATTAATTTCATTAGTTTTGTAGTGAGACAAAAAAAAAGTTGTATGACTTTTAACTAGTGTAACCTTTGTTCTAATGACTGAATTTTCCCGTACTAAGTGTCAATCATTATAATTCAAAGTGATAAACTCAAATATGCTATGTATTTATTGCTAACTATAAATTAAGTTACGAAACATGAAACAGAAATATAGTTTCTGCGTATAAACATAATTAGATACTTAATGATTTGAAATGAAAATAAATGTAATATTTCTGTTGCTCTTATTTTACAGTTATTTATTTTTAATAACAATATGCTCACAATGTTTGATTGTCCAGAACTAATTTTGCAACACATAATCATTCTCAATTCAAAGAAGAAAAAAAATTTCTTAATTTTTTAAGCAAAAGATAAATTTAAAAAATGACAAGAGAATGTGTGACGTCTAAGCTAAATTTAAACGGAATCAATGGCGGAAATGATTAATGATGCAATGACTCTGTCTTGTTTCTCCAAATAAATAAATAAATAATAATGGTATTAAAAAAAAGGGTTTCTTTCTGCTATTGCTACTCTTGTAGAACGAATTGAGTAGTAAGCATATGCTTGAAAGCTGATACGACTCGTCGAATGACCAGAAGTTCCTTGAAAAACACCTGCGAAAAATAAGCATATTTTTTTTAATTCTACTCTTGTTTGCACCTTTATGGGTGTCTATTTTCTATTTAATTAGTAGCACATTTTCATTTTAATCATGATCATTAGTAAAAGGGTACGAATTATTAAAGAGCTTATGCGTTATTGAGGCTTCCAAGTGATCCAAGTAAAATTATAAACCATAATTTGCAAATTAGAAATTCGTAAAACAAAATTTAAAATAAATAATTGACGATGTCTTAATTCATCAATGTTTAAAATTCATTTACTATATACGTTAATTAAAAAATGTATGATCCCCTTCAACATGCATAGTTAAAAGGAGAATTTTATTAAATCTATATGAAGTTTTCAGCACAATGCTGTAGAAGGAAAGGAGTCTACTACTCTCCCTCTCCAGCAAATACATTTGAAGAGAAAATTACTTGACCACCGATAACATCTAGTAATATATGAGTATTGATGGAAAAAAATTAGTTTCATATATAATACAGATTATAACCATTAATTATTGTTGAAGTTACTGATTATTCGAGTTAAATTGATAAAAAAGTTTTGTGACAAAAAAGTTATTTATTTCCATCAAAAACTCCTCCACGAAGGCTAGTTTGCCTCAAAGCGTGATCCAAGAACTCCCTTGTCTTCTGTTTTGCAAGCTTTGAAATCGCATCAATTACCGTTATGCATTGCAGTTTCCATAAAGTGCTACATCAGTAGCTAAAATTCTCCACCTTCGACATATGTTTTTCATATTTCAATAGTGGTTCAATGCCACCACCGTTCATTTTTTGAGATAGATAACTTTAAAATCTAATGAGTATGAGTTGGAAGCCTATTCGCGATGAAAGATTTTTATTTCGCCTATACATTTGTTATTTATACAAATACAAGCAACGCTTGATATAATGTCCTCGGTCGCACGTGCACAATATTGTAAATATTTAATCATGACGTAAACTATCCTCACTTGTAGATGGATCATGGGTAAGAATCCCCTTGCCTGTGAACCAACCGTGAGAGGTTTTCGTGACTTTCTTCGCCATGTAACGCAAATGCTAGTTATTTCCATCAAAAATTCCTCCACGAAAGCTATTTTGTCTCAAAGCTTGATCCAAGAGTTCTCTTGTCTTCTGTTTTGGATTCAAAATTACAGTTGAACATAGATAGTCGTAAACTCAGAATTGGGTCAGCTGTTCAACGCCGGTTAGAAAATAAAATTAAATATTTAATCGTAATTAAGAAATATTGAACTAATTTGGACAAGATAGTGTTATACCTTAATAACAAATGGAAAATCAGTAGAGTAATTGAACGCAACTTATTTTTAATGCTAATATACGTAATAGTACAATTTAAAATTGTAAAGATGAAAAATGCTTTTAAAACAATTATCTGGTCCCGAGTAGTCAATTTCGATGAGGAACATTTATCCATTTAAATGCAAAGATAAAAAAAAAATTTAAAAAAATCAAGCAATGTCGAAAAAAAATTCAAACAAGAAAAGTATGATTTATAAATTTATTGTACCCTTGAAAAAAAAATTGACTAAAAAAAAAGTTCGTGGAGTCCCTCCACGCGGAAGAAGCTAAACTTCGTAACCTGCGACGTTAATTGTAGAAGAATCAGCAGTCGTAGAAGAATCTCTAGTTCTATTCAACGACTCTTTTTCCTGCTCCCTAATAATGTGCATCAAAACAAACTAAAAAAATATTTATAGAAAAACAAAAGTTTTATGACTGTGAGAACCAAAACAATAAGGAAATGAATGAGGGAAAACTAGATCCTACCACGTGATTTTCCGGCCAATAAAAATTTAGCGTTAAACGTCTAACGCTTCCTTTTCGGAAGTCGCATAAGAAGTATAACTTCAAAAAGTTTTACAAATAAATTTTTTTTAAATATTTTTAAGCAAAGCACAAAATTTCAATTTTCTGCCCTTTTCTCCATAGACGGTTGCCTAGATTCACTTAATCAAGGTCGCGACCGACTAAAAATGCAAAAACTGGTGACTAATAAAATTTAGAATTTTATTAAAAGAGCTTAAAATTAGCCAATTTCTTTTTAGCAAGTTTTTTGCAGTATACTATTGAAAGACAATGAAAATAATGTTTTTCCCTTAAATATGAATAAATGAAATGCGATTTAAAAATTTTTTTCCATTAGTTCCTACTAACCTAAAGAGAACGACCTATAAACATAAAGACTACTTGCAAGCGTTATTTTCCGTTCGAGTAATTCATAGTTATTCTTGTTTATCAAGCGAAACGTAGCGGAAGTTCAGTTTTAATAAGTTTTGAATAACAGGGATCTGTGTATATGAAATGTTGTTGTAAAACGATTTATTTAATGTTATCGCTAAAAAAAAATCACAAATCTTATTTCTAAACAAAAATGATGATAATTCTCTAAAATTGTATAGTGCACAAAAATAATAGTTGTAAAATTTTAAAATGCTAGGTACACAAATTTTTACATTAATTTTTAATGTATTTCTATTTTAAACAAATTTTTAAAGTAAGTTTTAATGGCAAGAACAAAATTTGAACGAAATCGGTAAAAGAGCTTTTGAGAAAACAAATTTTAAATGCACGACTTTTTCAAAATGTAATAACTAAGAAACTGTTCGGTCGATTTGTCTGGGAAGTAAAGGCGGTGTGTGCGCAATGCTATCCATATTGCCACAATCCTACCGTTGCTCACGAAATAGTGGAGCCTTAACATTCAGAACAACGGAGTGCTGCGGGAATGCTATACTTTTTTTCAGAATTTGAACGAAGAGTTTTATTTATTTCTGGAACAAAAAAGCTAATTGTTTTTAAAAAAAAAATTGGTTTGTGAACCAAAATACATGCATCAAAATTGTATGTCATATCAAAAGTTCTCTACTTCCAAGTTCATTATATATAAATCTAAATAAATGATAAAAAATATTGAATCAAATACATTAAATTAAAATAGGCTAATGTAACATATTTGCACTGTTTAAAATACTGCTACAAATTAGAACGCTTTTCCTTGCAGCAATAGATGTTCAAATTATTAAAAATTATACTGTTGTAGTGTAGAATATGTCTAAATTTGTATCATGGTTTACTGTCCTGAGGTAGAATACATATCTTGGTTTTAAATAAAACCAAAATTATGATCAATCTATTTATATAACAATTTATATCAAATTGAATTTATGTTAAATAGTTACATCAATTCATATTCGAAAAAAAAAATAAAACAGTATGCAATACAATTACTTTTGAATGATGAAATTATTTTTATGCCCCCAAAACAGTTCAGTGCTTCTGTTACAAACTTTTTCTGTGATGTCATCGATTTGTTAAAGACATACTTATAAATAAAATTAATGCTTAGGGTGTCATTAGGTTTTAAGAAATTGTGACTGTACCAAGGTATAAGTGTCCAAAGAGACAGCATTCTCCCCATCTGTTAACATTTAGTTGACAGCATAAACATTTTATGCTTAGAATACCCAATAATTACACCAATGTTAAAAATTACAATGCAAATACATGCATTCTTTTATGCTCTCACGTCCAGCAACTACTGTTCTGTGCTAATTAATAATTTTCTTTTAGACAGAATAATAATGTTACAATACAGCAACAAAAAAAAAACTCTCTTAGATTTTAAAACCTTCAATACGACATATTAAAAAAAATATTGTTCAGATACATAAAAGAGGAAGCTATTATTTATTTATTACTAAAGATAAAATTCTTTACAGCTATTCCTTATATAACTTCATTTTTCTTAATACAAATATAATTTTGAGCGTAAAAATTGATTAAATTTTATTTGGGGAACATTTACGTTAATTAAGTATTTTGCTTTGTTTCGGTCCTTTTTTTATTTTTTTTTTATTGCATATAAGGGTAAGTGTTTGCTTACCCAACAAACTGTTGGTAATTTTAGATTTGATAAAAAAAAATTCTCTTCACAATTTTAAATACAAATGCTTTTCGTTAAAGTTTTGCGGAAAATTAAAAAAAAGTAATATGGGTTTCGCATTCGTAAATTTAACGCACTAGTTACTATTAGCTACTGCGCATGCGTGTTTCCTTCAGCTGAATGAATCTATGTTGTTCACAATCTAAATTATTATCGGTTCATTTAACAACAGAAAAGCCATTAGCTTGGAAAAGATTACTGTTTACAGATTTATTTCTCTTACAAATCTAAATGTTAAGGAAATCATGGCACCCTTTACATTAACATAAATTTATGGGATGTGAAAGACCCTTTTTATTCTCAGATTTTCTTATTTTGCAATTTTAATTGAAAATTAGAATAATATATTTTATAAACAATGTCTCTGGAACTAAAAGAAGCAAAACAGAGTCGATTCCAGAAGTTCAAAAAGAAGTAAGTGCGATTTTCTTAAATACTTTTTGCAAAAAAATAAAAAAATAAATAAAAAAATAAATAAAAAACATTTTATCTTAACCAGGTAGTTAAAAACTGTACTAATAAACTAAGCTTTATTGCTTGCTTTTTAATGTCTGTTGAGTTTGTTTTTAATGGTATAATATTAGTTGTAATAAATCTGATTAACAATATTTTTAAGTTCACTTTATTTTTTTAAAGAAAAATAATGACTATTATTTCAATGTAAGTAATTTTATTTTTGTAATGCAATTAGTTGTGACGTAAATAAAAAAAAAATCTGAATATTATTTGAACAAGTAATATAAAAAAAAAAATTTAAGTCAATTTCCACTTTGGTCACAAAGAAAATTTTTATTTTAGTTACTTTTTATTACATTCATTAAATTTAATTAATGAATTAATTTTAGAAAAAACTGAATTAACGTCTAGTGTCGTCCAAAATTAAAAAAAAATGTATTTGAACTTAAGTGAATGAATAAAAAGTATTTTATTAACGATTAAAAATTTGAACAAACTATATAAATATATATAGGGAGACTGTGAACTAATAGCAGGAATACACAAAGAACTTTGACTATGTAGAGAGCATCTCTTAAAAATAGTTTATATAGATATCATAGCACTTCGCACAGGCAACAGCTAGACGGAGAAAACATTTTGTTATTATATTGTTTAAAACTAATTAAGGTGTTAGGATTGGAGGAGTTGTTGAAGGATTAGAAAGTTTAAGTACAGCCACATGCTGTGCATTCGGCTTTGTTACCATTAAAGTTTATATGTTGTACAAGATAGTTATAAAAGGGGACCCAACTGGCCACCGAAGGCGAGTAGTCATAGTTTATTTTCTATCGCTTTTACCTGGTCTGCGCATATTAAATTTATTCTTACTAAAATTTATGCAATTTAGAAATCTAGAGCCACGATTGCTCAGGGGATAGAGCGTTTGCCTTCCAATGAGGAGAACCGGGGTTCGATCCCGGCGATGGCTGGTCGATACGAACTCCGCATCCGGCTTGCACAGTTCCGACGTGAAATATCCTCAGTGGTAGACGATTCATGGGTTAGAGTCCCCTTGCCGTCATTCTAAACATGAAAGATTCTTGTGGTCTTTCTCTCCATGTAACGCAAATGCGGGTAACTTCCATCTAAAAGTCCTCCACAAAAACAAATTTCTACCAATACTTGATCCATGAGTTCCCTTGTCTTCTGGATTGAGTTCAAAATTACAAGGCTACGGAGTTGAACATTAGTAGTCGTAAACCCCAAAAAATTGAGTCGGCTGTTCAACGACGGTTATAAAATAAAAAATTTAGCAATCTGAACACACTCTGGGGTCATACCGAGAGACAAACAGCAATCATGTTCCAAACAGCAATCATGTAGATGTTGCAGACAAAATGTACATGTAAAAAAAATATTATAGTTACCAACTCCTAGTAACGCTGCTTACTATATCGTTATTTCGAAATAAGCAATTGTAGCTTATAAAGTCGCTGACTTCATTGAACACGTTACAGGAAAATAATGTAATTTTCAGGCTATTAAATTCTTTAAACTTTAAAAATAGACGAAAAAGAAATTGCAAAGGCAATTAAAAATAATGTTTACCTTCAACATTATCATGCAGGATTCTATATTTCACTATAAATCCTAAAAAGATAATTACAGTTTTATGGTTTTGAGCATTGTCAGTGGGCAAAAATATTTCATGATATGGTCCTTAATAAACGCAATAGATATTTGTCTGTCTAAGCAGTAAATTATTAAAAGTTATGATGTTTACCTATAATTTTTTTATGAATATCTTATTTAATGATATTTGAATACATAATTTATTTTTCGTTAATTTTTAACATTCTTTTTCCTTTTTATTACGGTTTTAATTTTAATTTCCTAAATTATAATGTTGAAATTAAAAGCGCTGTTTCTTTTGCTATCATTATTAAAAAATCGTAAGCTGCGCTATCGTCTCTGTTTATTTTTGTATTTTACTTTACGTTTTTGTTTTGCTGCGCAAAAACTGCAAGATTTAGAAACATAAAATTACAAAGGTGTGTAAAAAAATTACAGTTCATACAATGAAATAAAAATAATTAACATTTGATTGTTAGACCCGGAATAATTAACTGTTAAACTTATATTCTCTACAACCCAGAGAAATGCAACCAACGAAAATTTGACTTGCTGAAAGGGCTATTAATATTAGTAAACTGAGCTCGAACTTTCTTCGAAATTGTAAGTTGCTCGAAAGTTTTTACAATTTTGTGAGCTTTTTTTGACAGTTTCTTTACAACTATGTATTCATTAAAATGAATGTAACAATGAACATTGTATCATTGACATAAAAATAAGGAATATTCCTTTTCATAGACTTCAAATTCATCCTTGTATATTAATTAACCGTACGAGGTGAGCAGGGAATGGGGCCTCCTAGTTATATTGTAAATTAGTCGTGTAATATTACCTAATTGTAATAAAATATGCAGTTACCATTTTACAAATATTAAACGATAAATTGGTTATAATTGCATTTATAATAAATTTTCCGTAAACTACGTGCAATTGAAATAACTAATACAAAATAACTATTCCAAATACTGGAGAATTATTAAGAAGTAATTTTTTTAAAAAACTGATTAGCATGCAGTTAGAAAAGGATATAGAGAAGTAAGTGGCAGATTAATAGTGCGGATTTAAGAAAAATCAATCCACAATTGACCAAATTTTCTACTTAAAACTAATATTAGAAAAATGCTACGAATGCAATATTGATGTTCAACTACTTTTTATCGTCTATAAACAAATCTATGATAGTTTCGACTGAAAAAAAAAACATTTTCTATTCTAAAATAGTTTGAAATACACTTCAAGATAATAAGTTTAATTAAATTAATTCTCTCTCTCTCTATAACACCAATAAGAGTCAGGGTATAGAATACATTGTTGGAAAACTTAAGATTAAGAGAGGATTGAGATAGAGTGACTTGTTGTAATTTAGTAAAAGAATACAAAATATTTAATTCTAAATTGACAAAACTATTCTAAATAGACGTCGTCTTCGGTGGTCATATTTTTATTTCCTCCGTTTTCTTTATTGCTATATTGTTGCAATTTATTTATTTTTTATTTTAAACATGCCTGGAATTAGAAAAATCAAAGTACGACCAACAGGAATTTTACTAATATTTTGCATTTGTGATGTATAAAGTGATAATTCGACCAATTGTGTTATATGGATTTGAGACATGAACTATAACTAAAAGCGATTCTGATCTTTTACGAACATAGAACAAGTATGTTTTAAGGAAGATATTTGTCGTATTTTATGAGGATGGACTTCTCCACTTAAAATCCTGAAGAGTCATTGAAGAAGAAAATAATTATGAAAATTTTCTTTGGCAGCTGAGGAAATTGATCAAGTGAATAGAAAGAAAATGGGTAACACTTTTTTGTTTGATGAAAACAAGAATTTCACGCTTGAAAAATAAATCAGAAAAGTTGCTTCATTCCAAAGCGTATTTTTAAACGTAATAAAAAAGGAGAACAAATTTAATTTTGATTCAAAATTTAAATAGTAAAAGAATGAAAGAAAAGGGGGAAGAGGAAAAAACTAAAATCGGATAATGAATCTCAGAAAGTAAAGGTTGGATTCCTTCATTTTTAAACAATTTTAACTTATTTTAAGAAAATACTTTCATGATAAAGATTTTGAAAATATTTACTAATTGTTAGCTATAGTAAATGTTAGAAAATGTTAACTTTTATTGATCTAGGTATGAATCAAATACGTTAATTTATTTACATTTGAATTTTGATTAGCATTTTAAATGATCAAGAAAAATTCTGTTTATAAATATAAATTTATAATTAAATAATCTTTTTATTATAATTAAATAAATTTGTAATTAAATAAACTTTTGATGAAAAAGTTTTCTAAATTATTATAGTTTCGTAAAAGGGTTTAAAAAATATGCATGTCGTTACCAAAATGTTTTTCCTTATGTAACGTTTTTTTATGTAGAATATTCATTTTTGCAGTGGCCTTCAAGTCGAATTTTATGTGTAAAGATATTTTAAGTAAATATTATGCATAGTTTAAATAAATAAGTGTTTTTAAATCTAATTTTTATTTTCTTTTTTTTTAGGGTTAAGCTGACTAAGCTAAGCAGAAGTAATAGCACGAAAGAACATGTTGAAAAATATTATATCAATAATAACAACGTAAGGTTTTTCCACATTTTTATTATTTGAAAATTTTTTTTTAATAAAAAAGTCTGAGTTGGGCCAAAAAATCTTCACATTTTTCTTAAATTTTTTTTTTTTTTTTTTACCTAATTGTCTAAGTTTCACTACCAAAAATTACTAAATGATTGATAACTGTTTTATTAATTTTTAATTAATTTCTTTGGGCAACGAGGCTGACATAATAAGTATTGATATAAATAATAACTTTGATTTTCCTTCGAGATTAAAAATAATTATCAATTAGTAATTTTATTGTGGGTATTAATAATGCATTTAATATTCCATGTACTTAAGGAGAAAAATTAATGGACAAATGACACTAATACATTTAGGAAAAGCGTAGTAAAACGTCATACTATTATTGATGCCTATAAATGCTTAATTAATTTGGTAATAGGTTCTGACTGAAATATAATACTATGAACAAAATAACAAAATTAAGGGAGAAATGGTACTAATTCGTTTAGGAGAAAAGTAAAAACTCACTATACTATTATTAAAGCCAAAGATGCTTAAAAAAATTTAGTAAGAGTTACTAATTAAAATAAAATTATAAGCTATATGTACAGAAAATGGAAAATTGGCTCGAATTCGTTTAGGTAAAACGTACAAAATTGCCATGCTATCATTGACACCAATGATGCTTAATTACTTTGGTGATAGGTCCTAATTGAAATTAAAAATCAGTGTTGTATTGAGAAGCAAAATTAATGGACAAGTGCTACTAATTCGTCCAAGAAAAATATAAAAATTCGTCATACTATTACAGACGCTTGCTAAATTGATTTGATAATAGTCACTTTTGGTATTATGGTAACAATCGCTGTAATTTTAATCAATCCATGGTACTTATTAAAACTGCATGAATACTGCGCAGTTTTAATATGAATACTGTGGAAAGAGGTTTTTTTTTATCATCCCTCGTAATTACGAGGGATGGATTAAGAGATAGGTGCAAGATAAAAACAGTTTAATTGTGGTAAATTTTTGACCATCGATGGCCAAATCAAGATCTTGATTTGGCCTTGAGCAACAGCATAATTCCAAAAGATATTGAATATAGTTAATCACTATTTTTATGGGATGAGCTAATAACGTAAAGTGATCGACAAGGACAAAAAATAATTATGAATAATAATAATAATAAGTAGAATTTATTAATTTGTTTTGGTATATCTTTTTCAGTTCTGTGCATGATTTCGTAGTGTTTTTCAGTACTAATTTATTGGGGGTTAATTTTTTTTCACCCCGTATGGAGAACGAGTATTCAGCTAGTTTAAAAATAAGCAATTGTCAGCAGAGATGAAGTATGAAATCACCCTTTTTGGGATATAAGTTAAAATGATAATATCTCCAGATGCAGATTCATAAAATGTTAAACATTTTTAATACTTTTTATCATATTTTGTAAAGATAATTTTCATCCGAAGATATCGCTAAAATAAAACTGTCTTTCGACCATGGTGCATTTAAAATCATATGAAGTGTCATTAAGTGAGTAGTCAAAGAAATTATAAAAATTCTTTTTTTAGAGATTTATAGAGATTTAATAGAGGATTTTGTAAAGAGATTATAGAGAGATTTTATAGAGATTTAAAACTATTAAAAAAAATTTGATTTACAATGTTTTTTAATTTATGGGATGTATTTATTCACGATCACAGTAAATAAGAATTCATTGCTTCAACTAGGAGCCTTAACTTCAACATTTCTTAGTTGTGACGTCACGTGAAAAGGACCGATTGTGCTGCTCGAGCTAGAATCAGCCTAATCATTAAATTTCGCTTTGGTATTTGTTATGAAACTTTAACCGGGTAATATTTATTCTGCTTCTGTATTTCTTCGAAATGTGAAGTAAAATTTTGTTTTGGTATCAAGGTGCCTGAAGAAAGTTTTATATAATGTAAACTTAAAATTATTATATTTCTATTTATTATGGCTGGGAGTGAAAGCGAAGAGGAGGTAAACATAAATTTGTGAATGATTTATACTACTACTAGCTGTTCCTGAAATTGAACCAGAATTATCCTTGTTGTTGTATTTGGCTTTTATTATTAATTGCGAATTTTAACATTTTATAATGTAAAAATTAGATTGTATATTTGGGCAAGGTTGTGTTGTAAGAATATTGCGGGACCTGCTCGCTCAGTGGAAACTTTTATAGTTTATTTTTTGTTTGTTACAATATGAATAGTTCATGAACGGTTTTACTCAGAATTTATTGGGAATTAGGTGAACACAAACACTTTGGTCATAGGCAGGTCACATTTTGCATTTTGGTCATGTTTTACTCAGCACATTTAAAGCTGTATATATGAGTAATTATTTGAAAATTAAAGTGGATAAATCCGTTGTAATTAAGATTTTAATGCCATTTTGTTGTGCTTTGTAATATTTCATATTGAATATAGATGTTTTAAAAGCGTCATTTAGTAAATTTGCATAAATCTCTGTGACTGCTTCTATCTTTTTTTTTTTATTTTGTGCAATTCTAAGACTAAAAATTCTGCAAATTATGGAATAAATAATTCTGTCTATAAAAATTCACCGCAACGCAAAACCAATGACAAATCTTCAAAAACTATTCTTTCCATCAACCAATTGTTCAGTTTGCTTTGTTTTGTGAATGTCACTTCTACCAGCCTTTTCTTGCTTTTTCAAGGAAATGCTGAGGAAAAAGAGTTTTTTGTATTAAGTAATGTTCAATAAATAGTGGTTTGAATAAAAAATTATTTGAAATTATCTTAATACTCTTACTTTATCTGGAGCTTTATCACTTACCAACTTTCAATACAAGAATTTTAAAAGCACCATTGAGCAAAAAGACTTTCTCACACAGGATGTCTCAACTTTTTTTGAGGGGGGGAGGGGAAGATATCAGTAAAAATTTACCTTTTTTATTATTTTGTAGACTCATTTATGTAATTCTACTTTTTTTTTTCTGTTGTCATTTTTGTTAAAATAGATAATTAACAATAATTATTATTTCATTTTTTAATTTTGAACAATTATTATTTTTTAGTACTTTTTTTTTTTTTTTTAGTTTTACTGATTCTAAAAATTGTAGAGCTGTTATGTATAGGCATTAAAAAGATTTTTTTTTTCTTAAACTAGATATATGTTGAAGTCAATGGTTTTTCTTTGTTTGTAGACTAACATTGTATTTTTTTTTCTTTTTATCTTTAATCAGATAATCAATATTTTAGATTTCACTCAATAGATTGCATTTATCTAGTTTCTTGATTGCATTTATTATGTTGTGTGCATGATAAGGTACACCCATGAAAGAATCGCGATGACTTAAAACTATATTTAATAATCCAACGATAAAACATAAGTATTATAAAATAACATGCTAGCAAAAGATAAACAGAAGAGTAGCAGCAAACATGAATAAGTAAAATCTTTGTATAATCCGTCTGGATCGAGACGGCAGCATTGCTGTTTTGCAATTAAAGACTGTCATCGTGGATTCATCAGTGATACCAGAAAGTGACGTCAGCTGACACCACAACTGCATTGATCAAGTTTATTATTCAAGATTGCATTGATTAATATTAATATTTTCTGTTTTTTATATTTTTGATCTGAATCTTCTAGTTCTTCTAAAATTTAACTTGACTTTGTTTGTCCAAAATGCAAACATATGTTGGAAGAAATACACAGTCTTAAACATTTCATGTAAGATTTACTATAAATTTTTTTGTTGTCATAACTATATTAATTTTCCTTGATTTATTTTTTAGGCCTATGAAGATGCCTTAGATGGATTACACATGTTAGTATATTTACATTTTTTGAATATATATTTTTATTTATTTACATTAAGAAACTACTGATTCTCTTACTTGTTGCAAAATGATAAAATCAAACCATTGTATATATATATTTTTGTGATAAAATCAAACCATTGTATATATATATCTCTTATAAGTTATATAAATTGTGAACAAAGAAATATTAATTTATATAGTACCAAAAAATAGCTCATTAAATTCTTATTAGTAACATTCAAGTTATAAAAATTTGACATTTTTATTTGTACTGGCAACTATTTGTTTTTTCTTATTTATAGAAATATATTGTAAAAATAATAACATGTAATAATGGAATAGAGAGAAAGTTAGATTAAAGAAGGAAAAAAAAAAATCGCACTCCAAAGAACTTCTAATCTTTTTGAATAAATACTTTCTACTCATGCCCTTTAAAATGCATCATACACTTAGTTTAAGAGGTGTTGTTGTATCTTAAATCAAGAACTTTTATTCAATATATAACTATAACAATATATAAATTTCTTAACTTTTTATTATCTCGTTTAGTTATTCACTGTTTTCTGTTAAATTAATTTCAGTGATGGATTGCCTTCTTTAGATGAATCTATTAAAGAAGCAAAACTATCTTTGGATCTCTTTTTTCAAAATAAGTTTGCTGCAGCTCTTGATAGTCTTATGTCATGGTAAGTAATAAGTTTAACCCACATTTTTTCTTGAAATATTTTGCACTTATTAAATTGGGATATACTGAATAATTTGGTAGTTATTTTTAGTATATGGTTGACAATTAAAGTTAATAAATTGTTTTAAAGATAAACTTCTTGCATTTTTAAAAATGTAAAAATAAATTGTGTTAGTTTGTTTTTAAAAAAATTAAGTTATTAAAGGTTTCAACAAATTGTGACTTATTTTAATAATTATATTGGTTCATAAAATGTTATTCCACTTTCATAGCTTTTTTGTCCTAAGATACATACATATTAGGGAAACTTAACAAAAAATAAGTAAATGGATAAATAAACATTTAATAGCATTCCTACATCAATTTTTTTAGTTTTTTTTTAATTATTTTAGATATAAAATCAAGAATTGTAGTCTTTAAGTGTTTTTTAGTTAATAAAAGGTTATTAGAATTTTAATGTAGTTAACATTTATAACATCAGTCACATCAAAATTGCAAAAACAGTCACTAGAGTTTTTTCTCTGTTTTTCACTTTTTATTTAAACAATTCATGTGTATTTTCAATGTTTCCTGCTAATTGATAGTTTTTGTTTAAAATAATTTTTTTACAACAATAATCCTATTACTGCCTGTAGAAGAATGAGAATTTCAAAGTAAAATATATTTCACTGCGTCTTTTTTTATGCATCATCAGTCACATTTTATATTCTTATTCTACGTAAAATATTTATAGTTTTCATCTCTCTTTACTTAAAGGCATAATAATATTTTACTCTATTTTTTTTTTTTTTTTACTTCAACAAATTTTTTTAAAAGATTGTGATAGACCTTACTTAAATCCAAGTAATGCTTTTAATGACAAAGTTTTCTATGAGCTTTTTAACATTAAACTACCAATTGTTCTTGTTAAATCTGGGAATCTTGTTAAATTAGGGCTTACAATAAAAGTTTCACTTTATATTAGATGAGAAAAATGCTTATAAAATTGTTTTGTTATTCTTCATAGCATATGCATGGAGTAGTTAAAGAAATATATACAATATCTATCTGTTTATCTATATATATATTTTTAAAAAAACATATAGGTCTCATATCAGTACTTACCATGCTTTGGGAAAAGGCACGATGCTTTTCATGCAAGCTCTTCTTACTATGGAAAGTGTATGTATAATATTTATTAATTAATAGTTGAGATAATTGTTAAACTCATTACTGTAGAAATTGAATTTTATATCAATATACTTGATTCTCGAGAAATTGTTTTATAGAAAGAAATTGAAAAAGCAGCTGAAGCACTAAGACAGGCTGTGGATGTTTGCCAAAGGAAAAGGAAGAAGCATACCATGTCTAAGATGCTGCGTCGACCTGACTATAATTTATATACAGAGGGTCAGTATTTGCTTTATTAACTATTGTGGTTAATTTTTAAATTACTTTGGATTTTAAACTAAATTTGAATTCTGTTAAATATCTGTTTGAAAATCTCACTGAGAAAGCACATTTGCTTTTACATTGGGAACTTTGACAGAGTGTGACAAAATTTCGCCATGTTTGGTTAAAGGTTTTGCCAAAATTAACTCTTAATAGTGTATGCAATTATGTACGGGATATAATTTATAATAAGAATCAATAAGGGTCGATAATAAATCATAATCTTCTTACACTCATACTTTTTACTATATTTTCTATACAGATTTATTAGAATTATTATTTCTGTAAGAATTCTATATAAATATATATTTTTACTACACGAATTCCGCACCAGGCTTGTACCGACCATTATGCTGACGAAAAATATCCTCAGTGGTAGACACATCATGGGTTAGAGTTTCTTGCCATCAAGCTAATCATATGAGGATTTCATGGTTTCCCTCTCCATGTAATGCAAATGCCGGTTAGTTTCATCACAAATGTTAAAATTTCTCCCAGTACTTGATCCAGGAGCTCCTTTGTCTTCCGGATTGGGTTCAAAATTTCAAGACTATGGAGTTGAACATTGATGTTGTTGAACTCTGAAGTTGAATTTAAATAAAATCAAATTAATAAATTTAATGTTAATTTAAATAAATGTTTAATATTACAATTGATTTTCAATTTGCTATAATTTTATAGGTTAATTCTTTTGTACAAAATGTGTACTTGTAAAATTTATGTTTTTATTTTAATAAATGTTTTTGTATTGTGAATTTTATATGTTCAATTTTTATTTTTTAGAAATTTTATTATTTAAGCGCTTTTATACTATTATTTGCTATAAGTATTATTTTTATAAATGAAATTTTAAAACAAAAGATTTTATTCCCTTTCAATGAGCAGAAGAAGTTCATGCAGAGTTGTGTTATGCTGAATGCTTACTTTTGACTGCAGTTTTAACATTTGTTGAAGATCAAAGCCTTGTCAATTTTGTACGAGGCAGTTTAAGAATACGAACCTGTTATCATTCTTACAAGTAAGTCTATTTAAATGATTTTTTTTTTTAAATTTAGAAATTCATTTTTAGTTAATATATATTTTAAAACTTATAAATTGCTTAAAAGTACTTTAAATATAGTTTTCTATTCCACCTTTTTCTTTTATAGTTACTTTTTTTTCATAGTTGAATAAGCATTTGAAAATATAAATTTAGAAAAAAAAAGCTAGGAAATTAATGTGCTCTTCTGCAATAATTATACAGTAATCTTGAATGCTTATTGAAAATTCACTTTTTATTGTTATCATTATAGTCCAAAGAAAAACTACATAGGTTTTCTTTAAAATAAAACTTAATTTGCCACATTGTTATTTTTACTCATTCACAAATTGTCTATTTAATAAATTGAACTTTCTCTTCAACTTTCTAGGGAATGTATGCACATATTAGAGACTAGAAAATGGAGTAATGAGCTGAGAAAGAAACATTTTGAAAGTGGTGTTCGAATGGGTGTTGGTACTTTTAATTTGGTATGATTATGAAAACTATTTTAGTATTTTTTTCTTTTAATGTTCTTTTCACAACTTTTTGAAAACATGAACTCACAATATTTTATTTGTATCATGCATTATTTGATATTCTTTTTAAAAAGCAAATTATTAAGTAAGTTGTAAGTAGAGTTTGGGGAAGTATTGTGAGAAACAAGCCACATTTTTTTCCAAAAGTGACATAACATCAAACTGTTCTTTAGTATAATTTTTAGATAAGTAATTTACAAGGTTAATATTTTGTCAATAAAAAATAGCACTGTATGCTGAAACATTTTAGTACCTACTTTGAATTTTTTAAGAAGTTTTCTTCAACATTTTGAATATGTGGCTTATGATATAACCCTAAACCCTTCATATGTAAATTTATTTTAATGTTTAGTGTTTAAAACCAGTCTGTTCAATGTTTTCAGCTATTTGTATAATCATTTTTCTTTTTACTTTTTATTAATTTTTGAAAGTTGTGAGAAATATTTATCTTTCATTTTTGAAAAGAGAAATTTTAAAAATGTATGAAAAGTATTACATCTTTTACTAAAAATAAATTCATCCAGCAAATTAGAAATCAATTTAAAATGGTAATGTATTTTGTTTATAAAAGCAATTATATTATTTTAAAAATATTTCGATGAAAGAAATTGATATTGTTAGGATAGCATTTTTTTGTAAAACTAACATACTTTTTAATTTTACTAAAAGGCATGTTATTAACCTTTGCTTAGATGATTTCTCAACTTCCTTCAAAAGTCTTGAAACTTCTGGAATTTATCGGATTCTCTGGAAACCGTGTAAGTTTATTTTTTAAAAAAACTTTTATTATAAATGACACTGGGTTCAAATTTAATAAATGTTTTATTAAAATTGATTTAAATTTTAAAATTACACTGATTCATTTTCTAATGAAATTAATTATTCATAGTCTAATTATTTTACTTTTATTTAGCAATTGGGCTTGAAAGAACTTGATGAAGGTTATGCCATGAAAGAAAGTTTAAGGTCACCACTCTGTGCTCTTATTTTGGTAACATTCCATACTTTGGTCACATATATGTTTGGTAAGTTCATGTTTTGTACCTGTATCTGAATATCTTTTTAGAAATTTTGATTAGAGTATGATTATGATGATGGATATGATGAAATTATGATTGTGTGGTCTTCACCTTTTTAATTTTTTTTCTCAAAAATATAACATAATATGATTGTACTGATAGACTTTATTGTAAAAACCAAATATTAAGTTAAAAAGTTTTTTATGTAATGAATAAAATAAACTTAAAAGAATAATTGTAACAGAGGGGACAAATATATATTTGAGATAATTTTTGACTTAAAAAATAAGAAAGAAATAAAAATTTTTTGACGGTAATCACTGCATAATTAGACTCAGGAACAATTTATTTTACAATATAAAGATATCTATATGTAAAGTCATAATATTTTTGATAACTTATTCTTTAAAATAGACAGTTTTTTGGTAGAATAAGTCAAAATCATGAATGCTCTCTATTTATGATAAATTTTACTGTAATCATGTATAACTCCAAATAATAACTTTTGAATTATTATTGATACTCCTTTAAAATGATACCAAATACAAGGGTATTGCTTAAACTTTAAAAATTCACTACTGGTTTCAGTTGACATGGAATTCAACTTTATATTTTCAGATTTTGTTTTAGAACAAAATTTATTCAATGTATTTTGAAGTTATAAAATTCAATATTGATATTTATTCCAGGCTGTGGAGATGGCGACATAGAAACATCAGAGAGAATAGTACAAGAAATGCTCTTCAGATACCCAGAAGTGAGTTTTTATCAAACTTTCAAATATAATTGCTTTTTTAATACTTTTGAATATTTCTGTTTTACATTTTTAACTCTAAATTTTGAATTATTATTTTTTCTGATTTTTGAAACTAAGTGAAATTCTGATTATATGAGATAATTGGTGCAAAATACAAAGCTACTTAATTTTTTAAGACAAAATTCTTTGAATAATATTAAAATTATAATTACAAGTTTTTGGAAAATCAAAAGTTTTTGAAGGATCAGGGTTCATCAATCATAAGTTTATTAAAATCACTGATCAATCATTATAAAATATGTTTCTTTTTTTTTGTAATCTACAAATACTTATATTATGTTCAGATCAGTGATTCATGTGATGTTTAAAACTATTGGTTTTACATGTTTTTTTTTTACATAAATATTTTATTTTTCATGTAAAGTGTGCATATTTTTGTGAAACAAAATTTTTTTCCTAGTGCATTTAATTATTATAACATTTGTGAAGGAATTTAAAAATTTTACATTTGTTTTTAAGGTATAATAAAATATGTTGTTGTGTAATTATAATTTCAAATAAAACCAGATTTTTTTGCTGAAAAACAATTATAATTTATATTAAGAATTTGTTGTTTTTTTTAGGCAGCTTTGTTCATTTTCTTATCTGGGCGAATAAAAATGCTGAAAGGACAAATTAATGAGGTGAATCATTTATATATTTATCAATTAATTTATGATTTAAATTACATTTTAAATGATCTGTGGATTTATTGTAATTTCTTAATGTATTATGTATAGTTATGTATAATGGATATTGTCTTATTTACATTCATTTCAGAATATTTTACTTTAAATCTCTTAAACTTAAGGTGTTAAATAATTGCATTCATGCATATGTCACAAATAAAATTGCCTATTCACCATAGAACACATGCATTAGATATTTTAGATTTTTGGTGAAATCTTCGACTTTATTACTTGCTTACTTATCCTCTACGTGCCTTTGGGCACTTAAGGCCTCTAGCATTTCCCTCCAACGCCTCCTGTCTCTAGCAATAGATCTTGCTTCCTTCAGCCAGATATTCTACATTCTTTTAATTTGCCCCAAAACATGCGCTGGATGGTAAGTCTGATTCTTCCTCTTGTTCTTTTACCATCAGGGGCCCATGTAAGCGCAACAGATGTAATTTTTTCTTTGGGCATTCTAAGGATATGTCCGAGCCAGCTCCATCTTTGTTTTTTAATTTCATCTTCTATTGTTTTTATTTTAGCTTTCTTTAACAGATTTTGACTTGATACTTTGTAAGGCCAGAAAATTTTAAAAATGAATCTTAAACATTTGTTTTGAAAGGTTTCTAATTTTTGTATTTCGATCTTAGTCTGTATCTAGGTTTCTGCGCCATATAATAGTTCTACTCTAACAATAGCTTTGTAAACAACTATTTTTGTCTTTATTTCAATATTTGACTCTCTCTAAAATTTATGTAATCCCTTAAAACATGTATGTTCTTGCTTTGATTATTCTCTGTCTCATATCTTCGCTACTTCCACCTTTTTTTATCTACAATAGAACCTAAATAGCTAAATGACTCTATGTCATCTATTTTGTGATTTTCGATTTTACTCTTTATTACTGTTATTATTTTAATCTCTTCATTCATATTATATATTTGAGGCTTAACAGTTTGTTTGACTGTCTAAGTACAAAGTATAGAGACTTTAAATAAGTATGCAAATAATTTAAATGTTTTCTTTTGCGCAAATTATTACACACACTTCGTTATTTATTTTTTTATGATTTTAGTTAATAGGACATTTCAGATTTTTTCTTCGTTTTCTACTCTTATGCCTGAGATAAATGTATGTGGACTTGCTGTTATTTTTCATTGTTATTTACTGATCTTTTGACCCCATCTAAAATATTAAATATGTAACCCATTCTTCCAAATTTGAGCAATTTTGTATCATGTTACTTTACATAAATTGATACTGCAACATTAAATCTATATAATTTAGAATTCTTAATGGCACTAAATTTTAAAGGGTAACATGAACTAAGAAAAAATCCCAAGCAAATGATTATGACAATAATTATATTTTTACTCTCAGCTATTTATACTACTTGCCTAAAATTGGGAATATGAAAAAACAAAGTTTTAAATTATAGTCTTTTATCTCAAAGTTGAAGACAAGTAAAAACATACGTGACAGCTTTGCTGTTATATTGAGTTTTTCTTTTATATTCTACCAACTCTTAATTACTGATGTGAAAAATAATTATTTCCTATTAAAATAACTCTCCTTTTAGTTGTTACTTTTAATAATATGCATTTTAATGATTATTTTTTCATTATATCATTTTTATTAATATTTTTATTCATTGCTTTTAGAAGTTAAGTTTTATTTTATTAATTATACTTATTATTATTTGCATAATTATAGATGATAAATCATGTAAAATTGATAGTATTTATCATGTTGTACTAAAAATTACATTTTGTGTATCTAGGCCATTGACACATATCAACTGTCCATTAATGTTCAGCAAGAGTGGAAACAATTTCATTATCTTTGTTATTGGGAATTGTTGTGGTGCCACTGGTAATATTCAGAATTAATTACCTTCTTGCTTTTATAATTTTGAACATACATTGTTTATGTGATGTTGAACTTTATTATATTTTGATCAGCTTTAAATGTGATTGGAAAGAAGCAGCAAAATGCTCTGATATATTGAGATTAGAGTGTAAGTGGTCTCCGGCAGTTTATACTTATGTTCATGCCTCAATTCTCTTTATGATGGTAGAAGAAGGAAATACAGAATTACAAGGCACTATTTCAGAACTGATGGAGTAAGATTTATTTTATTAATGATTATAGAAATGCTTGCCTTTTTTTCTCATTTGCTTTTATCTGTAAATGTAATCTATTTAAAATTCTTGCATCTTATATAGTTTTTTAGATATCTTTAGTTGATAAATAAATAATATTTTTGAATTTCTTCAAAACTGCTTAATCTTTGTTTTTTTTTAAAGAATTAAAAAATAAATTAACTAAAAATGTTTTCTAATTATACAAACAGGTTCTTAGGACACTCTTAATGACATAAGTAATTTAGAGGAGCATGATTCTGATGGTCTTTTTTTATTTTATTTAAAAAACAATTTTTGTTCCCAAATATTGCTTTTTAAAATTTTAAATAATCACTTACTGCATGGTAATAATTTAAACTGAAAAAATCATTAAAATATTTTTTAAAATTCAATTCTTTTCTATTTGTTTTTTATGTTCATGTTCATAAATTACCAGGTTGACATGCATTCCAATTATACCTTTATAGCTGCATTATAAATAAAACAAGCTTGAGGAAATTACTACTATTGTGTATATTTTATGTACTTGTTGCAATGTTGTTTATTTCGTCATACCCTTAATAGTTCCTCATTAAATATGTGGTTATCAATAATCTATAAGTGATAGTAAAGTTTAGAAACACTATTATTTAAGTTGGTTAGGGCTATTGTTTAAGAACTGGGACATATATTATGAAGCAATTATTCAGGCAGTTACAAAAATTAGTGCTCATGTTAATTACTTTGTTAATTTCCATTCTACGTTAGGTTATTCATAATTTTGATTAAAGGTCTTGGTCATTAAACAAGACTATATTTAAATAACATTGCCGAAAACTTTTTATGATTATAAATTTTTAAAATAATATAATTTTCTCTCATTTTGGATTTTTAGCTCTTTTGTTCGGCAACATAGCATTTATAATTATTACTCTGGAATTTTATAAATATTAAGCAGTTTATTTTATGCGCTGTTTTATAGGAAAGTTCCAAGCTTAAAACAACGATTAGCTGGTAAGTCAATACCTTTAGAAAAGTATGTAGTACGAAAATCTGTCAAGTTTGTGTCCCAGAAAGGTCGACTGATTGTTCCAGCATTGGTAAGTTTAATGACTTATTTGGTTTTAATTGGTTAGTATTATTTTAGTATTAAATGAGAAAACAAGATAACAGAGAATATTATGAAAATATTTCTAAATTTAATTGTTATATATATATATAGAATGCAATTGTTATATATATATATATATATATATATATATGGAATGCAATTGTTATATATATATATATATACAGTGTAACGTCCCATATCTGGACGTCCTTTTTCCCGAAGGGTCTTTTTAACAATCAAAATAAACAAACATCTCTTATCGTCCCCTCTCTTTTTTAAAAAAAAAGTCTTTGGACATGTTTTTTTCTTCTCTAGCTTCTAGTGATTCATGCATTGAACCCATAAATCAACAGAAAGGGGAAGAGAAGACCTCACAATACCGTTGAGTGACCATCAGGTCACTCAACGGTCAGGAATGCAGGAAAGAGCTACTCAGGAATGCAGGAAAGGAGGGAGATTTGTTTTCAAAAAAGCACAACTGAGTCCCCCCTTCCTTCTTTCCAATGCAGCTGGCTAGTAAAAGAGGCATACCCTGGAACCGTTTTATTAGAGTGAAAGTTAAAGTGGAGGGAGAGTCACTTTCAGTCACACAAGAAAAAATAAAGAGAACCCAATCAGCACGCCGCGCCTTTATGCTTGATTGATAGCCAATGATGGGAGAGAAAATAAATTGTTATTGCCCCGCCCTCAACTTGAATGACAAATAAGGAGGAAATGAATTTTCATCTCCACCTACCCACCTTAATGAATGACAGGAATTTCCCCTTCTTGCTTGAATCCTTCTAGTTCAAAATGGTGGAGAGAGCAATTAATATTTTCATAACTGTCAATTTTTGTTTCTTTTCTATATTTTAAGCAATAATTATTTTTTTCTAATATTTTGTTTTTGATTGATTAGATATCATTTTAATACTAAAACATTATTGACCGAAAAAAAATGTTTATTTATTTTTTGCTTCTTAGATTCAGATCGTTTTAAGCTTTGTTTACCTTGGAGGTCTATTATACGGAAAAATCTAATATCCAGACTTCCAAAAGTCCCACCGATTCCGGATACGAGACTTTCCACTGTATATAGAATGCAATTGTTATATATATATATATATATTTATTTGCTGATTAAATGTGTTAAACTGTTTTATTCATTACACTATAAAACTTAACATTATAATTTTGTAACTTGTAATATTTCATTAAAGCTATATATTGTACTTATTTCTTTTAGGAATTGGTGTATATTTGGAATAGTTTTCCAATGATAGCAAAATCTCGTGAACTCACTGAAAATATTCTTTGTAAAATCAATAATATATTTTCTAGTCTTGGAGATGCCAAAGGTATGTTTTTTTTCTTAAAGAAAAATTCATTGCAATTTTGAATGTAAATAGTAAGGGGTGATAATGTATATGTAGAATCCTTTTTATTTATTTATTATTCTTTTTTTAATATATTCGACTTATTTAATTAGATTTTTAAAATTCATTTTAAAGTTGATTATTGGGAATTTTTATTCTTATCAAGCATGTGATTCTTCTGCTAATTTGCAGAATTCTGCGAATCTCAAGATTGATAATTCACGGACTTTCGCAAATTAATCATTTGTATTTCAAAAAAAGTTTCTCAGAATTTTGCTATTCAAAAATTTACATTTCGCCCCTTACACAAACTCTCGTTAACACGAAATTTATACCGCCTTTACAAGCACCCTCTTTTTTTTTTTATCTTTGAGTACTTAATCAGTGCCAAAACAACTTTTTTTTAAGCAGATATGTTTGAGAAAAACTTTGTTTGCTATATATCTGTAATAACTAACTATTATAAAACTTTGTATCTGTAATAACTTCGGTTAAAATTAATGAAACACAGAGATGAATAGAAAAGTAATTAAGTTGATGATCTTAAAAGTAATTCTGAAATGGTTAACATTTAAATTATCATTCCCTGGAAAAAAATGGTGTTTTTTTTTTCATTCTTTCTAAACTTTAATTTCAAATGAGTAATAAACTCCGATTTGTTATAAAAGAATTATTTAATCAATATTATATATTAGTTCCCGATTTTTATTTGACTACAATTAGATTGAATTTTTTATATGATAACTGTACATGGAGATTTCAACACACTGGATATCATTGTAAGACGGCCAGTGACTGAGTGGTAGCGCTTCACGCTGTGTTGCACAGGTCCCTGGTTCAATACTGAGGCCGGGCAAGGTTGACTCAGCCTCCAAGTTTGACTCTCCTCAGTGGGTCGATAAATGAGTACCAAGCATGCTTGGGAACTAAACACTGGGGGTTCCGCTTTCGGCTGACCACCTGACCGAAACATCTGCTAATGCACCCCAGAGCCCAAAGTCAAGAAAACTGAGATGGGCACAGTAGGCCTTAGCCCTCTATGGGCTGTCGCTCCACTGAGTTTAGTAGTTTAGGATATCATTGTAATTCCGAATCTCGATCTTTTATCTTTTCTTTTGCACTTACTTCAACTGATTTTCTCATGGTTTTTAAAATTCCAATGTTATTACGACACTCAAAATTCAATTTGTGTATTTATTATTATCGTTTGTTTTACGACGATACTACTGTTTTTTTTCGATTGATTTTTCCACAGTTTTTGCTACTTGATATCCGCATTGTTTTTTAAATCGTGATATTTTCATACAAACTAGAAATTCTAATCACATATTTATTTGTGTAATTGCTTTTTCACAGGCTTGATTTAAATTTTTTTTGCAGTTATTGGTGTTGATTTTCACATGATTTCTTAAAATACAGATATTACTATGATACAGAAAATTCAAATAGTGCAACTGAATATTCATAATCTGATGCAATAATTCTATTGTTTTTCTATTAATTTTTCAGCAGTTGTCACTGTTAAATTTTGAATATTTTTAAAATCTCAATATTTTAAATACAGTATTATTAATTACAACATGTGAATCTTGAAACATGCATTTGATTAACTTCTTTTTGACGTGCTCGATTTGTTCGATTTTGTAGCAAATACTTGTGGTCTTATCATCAATATTTTTTCAGTTATTGCTGTAGATTTTACAAACTTTAAAATCTTTTTTTTTTTTTTTTTTTTTTTTTTTTTAAATGTTTTTTTTGTCTGTAAAAATGAGTGTCTTTTCTTTATTTTTAATGTACAAAAAAGAAAAAAAAATAAGCACTAAAGAAAAAAAACATTGAAAAAAATTCAGATAATTTCTTTTTTCAGGAATCATATCTCTGTCCTATAAATAAAAAAAAAATACACTAACAATTATCATGTCTGAGTTTGATGCTTTGGTTCATCAGTGAAAAACAGAGTATTGTTATTAAGTACTAATTGACATACTTTGGAGTCTGGTGTAGGGCTCATTTTTTTTTAAAGTTCTTACTCCTTGAAAACTTTCTTCCTGCATTCTTTTTAATTTCCTAAAACATTTTTCCTCTTTGATTCTTATTTTTATTAATTTTTTAAGTATTGAGATTGTTTTATTCTTTTTAATTTTCAAAGTTGGTCTATTGTACTGTCACTTAATTTTTGTGCATCTGCCATTTGGCCACACTAGGCATATATTTTGCATTCACTCTCATAACTCAGTATGATTGTGATTGAAAATAGTTTTTAAACTTAAAATCAAGAACGTTGAATATCTAAGTGAAATTTCCCTAAGAAATAATTCAAATGCAGAAGGCTAGTTTGGTTAAAATAATTAATTCAAAACTCTCTCTCTCTATATATATATATTAAAAAAAGCATTAGTTTTATCACAGTTAAAAACTTGTTGCAGCAGGAATCATTGTTTAACACTTAGCTGGCAAAATCAGTTTTAGTTGTATTGCAAAGTATTGGTCATTTAATTAGATAAAATTTATTTCAAACTTCATCTTGTAAAATACTCATAAATCAAGTTTCTTGTGAAGTTTCAAAATTAATGACAATGCGCTTTTTAAAATGTTTAACTTAACTAATTTAGTGAATTTTGTGTGTTTCTACTTATTATCTCTATTTTTTTGTAATTATATTTATCTAGATATAGCGGATGCACCACTTGATGATTACTGTTTAATATTGCTACTCAGAGGTGTATGTTATACTAATTTGGGACGCATCAATCAAGCTGAAGATTGTTTCCGTGAAGTCATTGCTTGGTACGATTTTAAACGACTTTATTTTTAAATAATTTGAATGAAGTAATTATTGATAATTAGCTTTATTGCTATTGTGAGTATTTGTTATTTTCACATGCAATATCATAGAACTACTCATCTTATTTCATTTGTGTTTTTATAAGTAGCTTACATTCTTTTTAGTAGGGTTCCCTATTTCATAGACTTCTTCATTAAAATGTAAGATATGAAAGTCCCATTTGCTATTTGATGCATGCAATGTTATTTTATTGCCCATTATACTAACTGTCCGAAAAATAACCTAGAATTTGAAATATCAACTAAAGAAAAAATGAAGGTGATAGAATTACATGCTTTGCTATTGTTCTTAAGAAACTAGGTAATTTTTTAGTTTCAAATTTAGTTACACATAATTGAACAAAAGTTCTGATAATATTAAAAGACAACAGAAAGAAATTTTTTCTAAATAACTACCATATGCAGCAAAGCCTGACCAAGTTTAAGGGCATTAATTTAGACATGACACTCTTGCAAATACTGTTTCAGTTGGAACAATGGTGTTAGTAGTCATCAATTCCATCTGCTGACAATCTTAGTATCTACTTTTGAAATTTAACAAGAAAAAATTTTTGGTTTCTTAAACAAAACACTGTAAATTGTATATTTAAATATCCATCGTTCTTTCTTTTACTTATTTTTCAAATCATAGGTTATTTTTGGCACACCTGGTACTATGAAACTTTCCATAATAGCATTTGAAATTAAATGTTTTCTTTCCTAAATGAAGTATTTATAGAGAAGTATTTTACCTAGTTTTAAAATTACAGAAAGAAATTTATCTACCTGAAAGGAATTATTTACAATTGAATTTTTAGAACCTTTATTTTATATATATTACCTCACTATAGTATAATTTAAGTCTTCTGTTTAAGTCAGCATGAGTCCTTATATTGAGTGTTGGGTTAAATAAAAATTCGGATTAAAATACTTTATAAAACTACTTAAGTATTATAGTCCTTAGTTAAGATGCACGTAATTTACCACTGAAAACTAGAGTATGATTTGCAAATTAACGAATAAAAATAAAAGCACCAACACACTTCAATTAGTATAATCTAGAAACAATGTACAGGTGTTTATTTCTGTAACTTGGCTAAAAGCTAAATCTGTAGATTATGTTGCAAAAGTTTAAAAACTTTAATACAATTTGATCAATTTCTCATCTATTACAAGAGAATTTAATTACAAGAGAAATCTAGGATCGGTTCAACCATGTATCTTTTAAAATATTCACTCTAAAATATAGTTCCATCAGTTGACCAGAGTCCATCAGTAGTCTACTGATCTTGACTGAAAACTGTCTCAATTAAATTACAATTATTGCAATAATGAAAACCAGTTTTTTTTTTAAAAAAATTTAATGTGTATATTAAAATAAAATACCTTGAATAAAATTTATTTTAAAATTATTAATAGCTAATTTATTATTGATGTAACTAATTTATAAATCCCATTTGTTTTATTAGATTCTGATAGCTATGTAATTACTGTCATGTTTCATTAGATTTTGACACCTGTGTAATTACTGGCAGTTTTAAATTTGAGATTAATTACATAAATAAATTAGTTGATAATAACTTTATTATAAATTTTAATCAGTGTTTTCCACAATTGGAGTATTTAATAAGAATTGTGCACAGATTTCTCTCAGCTTCTTATTATAAAGATTTATATTAGTAAAATTAATGTTGATAAAAGTATAAAAATGTTTGTTGCAATGTTTGTTTAAAAATATCTTGTTGAAACAGATTTTATTAATTTCCATGCTTTGAAAATTTAATTTCTATTTTTGTAATATTTTTTTAATGTTTTTAAGCTATATTTAATGTCCATTATTTTTTATTATCTTTTTCAAACTTTTCTCATACTCTAAAAATGATGATAATAAGTATAAACTTATGAATCACAAAGTTGTCGGTTGATTTTGATTTACTTATTAAAATAAAGTTTTAAGAAATTTTGTTTTGAAAGAAAATTTTAACTTCCTTTCCAAATAATAGTTTTTTCCTAGATAAGGAAAAAGAATGTTGGATATCTTTCTACAAAAATTAACCATTTATATTTAACTGAATATATTTAACTAAAAACCAGAAAGTTTTTGGAAGTAGAGAAAAATTCCTAATTTCTAAAGAAGTATTATGATTGTGAAAATTTGATCATTCAAAAAAGAAGAAGAAAAAAACTATTTAGTGAAGGATTAACATTATATATTATTAGACTATATTACATGTTATTTTTTAAAATCTTATTTTTGACCTTTTTTATGAACTTTTTCAAACAAAATTTGAATTTGCTGCATTTTGACCTTGAAAGAATAATAAAAATACTTAAATATAAGAAATGATTATTTTTTGCTATATATGAATGAATAAAGCTAAACAATACAGTAAAACCTATAATTTCATTTCAAAAGTCATTCAAGATTTTTGGGTTGTTTAATTTTATTTTTTTTTGATCCTAAACAATTGCAAATATTTCAGTGAAAAGCGAGTTAAAGATGATATGTATTTGATACCTTTCACTATGACTGAATTAGCATTGATCAAGTTAAAGCAGGGAGATGGTGTAACTGCTAAAGAACTTTTGGAACCAGCTCGGTATGTTGCTTAATATGCTAAATTTATTGTTGTAACTTTCATACCTGTTTGTTCTTTTTGTTATTATTATCTTTCTCTAAATAATATTCTTTAATAAATTTATGTTTTTGTGCATAAATTTATAGATATTTTTTAAACGCAATGATAACCCATTATTGTTGTGTGTTATTCAGGATCTCCTAGTGCTTAAAAAATTTCAACATTTTTATACATGCCCTGCTTAGCATGTAGGATTAAAGAATGCATGTCTGATTGAAACTTTTACATGCTCCAACATCTTTTGTTAATGCCTATAAATTAAAATACATGAATGTACCAGTTATTAATATATGTTGAAAAGATAACATCATTGTATTTATTTCAGTATAAATCAGAAATATCAAGCATTGTTAACTGGGAATTATTTAACATGAATAGGTATTGAAAGAGTAAATGCAGAATGCTATTAGCAAAGTAGTACTATCAGACAGGGTCTAATTAGCCAATTTAAATTATGATTAAAATCACAATTTAAACCACTTGGATTTTTTTAAAAAAGCATCATCCCTGATTTAAATAAAAAATTTTTTTTTTATCTGACATGTAAGTAGTTATTATTTTTGAGTAAAATTTAATACAACTTAAACCTATTTATCATTTACATAAAATCTGTATTTATAAGTTTATGTATTTCTGGAAGGAAAGGAAACCATTTTCAAATTTCTATGTTCAGCGGCAACATGCCATTTACTTGCCCACTTTTGATCTTGTCCTGTTTCTGTTACACATGCACTTTCAATGGATTCATATTATGTAAAATCAATCAATGGCCGTTGCTATCATATCACAGATTTTTATGATAAATGTTTGTTAAAAGTATGCTATTAAAAAAAAAAACTTTTTTGACCAAAGCTAAGGCTGGGGGACCATTTTAAAATTTAATCCGATTTAACGAAATGGCATCATTAAGCAGTGGTTCACCTCTAAATTCTTTTCAGTTTTTATTTATTTTTGTGCCATTGAAAAGATGTAAGTAGAAGTTCCACTGTTAAGATATTGAAATACTGGAAATGTGCATAAAAAGTTTTAAAACATTTCTATTAAAACCATTTTTTGAGAAAAATTTGAAGTACATCTGTATGATGATCAAATATTTCGCACAAAAGATTTATTTCATTTGCCTAAAGTCACATACTAAGAATATGTACTTTATACATTATGATTGTGGAGACTAATAGAATTTACAACTAGATTAGAAAAGCTAAATCAGAATTCTTGTTGAAATTCAAGGAAATAAATAATTTTTTTCTAATCATTGGATAAAAACAGATTGTTGATAAAGTCTGTTTCAGATTGTAATGAATTTGTTTTAGTTTTTTAAAGATTTCAAAACAATACCTGGTATAATGGTTATTTCTATAAAGGTATTCTATAAAGGTATTCCATAAAGGTATTCTTTTATAATGCTAAAATGTTGGGCTTCATTTTGATTTGCACCAAGCTTATGTGCAAATCAAAATGAAGCCCAACATTAGTCCTTTTTGCATTATATTACAGATTTATGAAAATTTTGCAATAAATGACAGTTTTTATGAGAATTTTGTTTTAAAGTAGCTTATCTTATTGTAAAATATTATTGAAATTAAAAATAAAGCTGTAAAATTTTGTGAACTTTGTACTTTTAGAGTTTTCCCTTGGAGTAAAAAAGAGCTCTCACTTAGCATCGTAAATATTTATCAAAATGTGTAATTTTATATAATTACTGAATTTTATCCTCACCAATTTTTAAATTACCCACTCATGTTATTTTATGAGTATATTTGAAAAAGTAATTCTCTCAATATCAAAACATGAGAAAAAAAATTGTAGTTTATAAAAATGAAGGTATGCTAAAATGCAATTCTTGTGAATTTTTTTCTTTCTTCCTTTTTTTTTAAAGTAAACTAACAAAAAATGATTAATTGATAAACAGCTAGAAAGCTTTTTTCTATAATTTAAACTGAAAATTATGAGAAAATAAACATTTAAAAGTGAATTTTTTTAAAAAAAAGGTATTTGTTTTAAAATTACTTAAAAAATGTTATTAATATCCCCCCCCCCCTCTCAAAAAAAATTATAAAAATTGAATCATTTGAGAATAATTCTAACAAAGTAAATATTTGTAATAGCTATCAGAATAATTTTTTTTTTTACACAGATAACTTTGCCAATGTGTAACTATTATTCAAGCAGCAGTGAATAGATTTTTTTTGAAAATGCAATCTGAATAAAAAGGCAGTGTTTTTAAGGGATGGTGGCTTTTAAAAAAAAAGAGGGCACATTTATTGGAATCGTAGAGCAAGTAGTCAGACCGCCCTTCAAAAAACGCTTAGGGAGAACCCTAGTACTTTGTTTTCATTCAAAACTGCTTTATGAAAAATATAAATCTAAGAAATTTAAAGAAAATTAATTTTAACATTTTTGATACAAAACATTTTGATTTAATAGCATGTGTATTTAATTGAAGCCATATTAAGCATGTGATAGATAATTAATGTTTTTTTCTTTTTCATAGGCACAACTATCGTGGTTATCCCCTCGAAACCATCCTCCATTTCAGAGTTCACTCAATTCTGCGCCAGCTGCGTGCCAAAGGTCATGTGATTCCTACTCCTTCACCAAAATCTACACCTCTTCATTCACCTGATCCCTCTCCTAATCGTAATGGAGAGATACCAGAATTCCCTTATTTGAGAGAGAGTCCTACTATGCAGCCCAAACGAAATTTGCTGCACCCCCCAGCTGACCTGGGCTCTTGTGTTTCACTCCCATGAGTCTTTCGTTTTTGGATTTATGTTTATTTATTAAACAGCTAAAGTACTCTTATGTTTTCCTGAGATATATGTTTATTTTGATGAAATCACGTCTTAGTTTAAAAAGTTGCATTTCCCAATCCTTTGTTTTTGTCACAAGTTAATACACTGAATGTTATATGTTTAAATATTGTTTGTGTATTGTTATATAAATGTTCTAAGATATGTTGATTTTAAATTTATAGTTTATTGTATCAATAGATATGAGTGTCAATACAGATCTTTATAGATATGTTAAGTTCATTGAGATTCTATTACCTTTTTTAATTGTGTATATAATTTGCTTTCATTCAATACCTAAAGTTTAAGAACTGCCTTTTTGTTTCTTAGCGTTATATTTTACAGCTTTAACTCGGTCTATTAATTAAGAGTTTATTTTTTATTTATAACACACTTTCATGAGCTAATTTTGAATTTCACCAAAAATTCACAACATAATTCGAATTAAAAATGCAATGTTTTTGGTTAGATTATAAAATTTATTATTTAAATGCATTAATCTGAATTACAGATTTCATCTAGTGGTAAATTCTCAATCTGTAAATGTTACATGTTGTGTTAATCATTCTGTATGCAGTTATTACCTAAGTTGCTCATTTTTTTGTGTGTAGTTTTTTGCATTTATAGTTCTGTGATATTTTATCACTAATTGTTTATAGTTTAATAAAATAAAGCAAAGAAAAACATTTTAACCACTCATATTTAAATTTATTTAGTATAGTCATTTATGGCATGTTTTATTTATTGTGATTTTAATAGTAATTAAACAGGTTATGCCTCCATTCCAGGCTTTTAATATTCTTTATTGCATAATTTGATCAATAGATACAAAATTGAAACAAACATTTCAGTTGTAATAATCAGAATCTCTAGTGCAAGTAAATAAGACCCTAGTTATTCATATGTAGACAGCACAAAAAATTTCTTGTACTGAAATAATTACTTTCACAATTCATGGGCGTATATTTCAACTAAAATATCCCTCTATGACTTATCATGCCTTAAGACTTCTTATTTACTTAAACATAACTTGTGTTTGTTGTTATGGAACTTTCGACTATGCGCTAAGTACGGAAATTTATTTTCAGGATCAATACTACAATTGTCGATTTGTTCAATCTGATTTCAAAAGGAAACACAATCTCTGATACCTGTTAAACTGTCGAAGCTTTCTTCTTTAATTCATTTGCTAGTTGTAATTTACTTTCATTGATAATAGTAATCAAAATATCTTCAAATTTAGTCATTTTTATATAATTTACTATTTTAAAGATTTCCATCAAACCATGTATTTTAATATTTTTAAGTATATTTTCACATAATTTACCAGTTTTAATTTTGAAATGTTCATTTTTAATAAATCATTCTAACATGCTAAACAAAATTTAAAATGTCTTGTCAAAATTGCCAAAATGTTTGTCCTTTAAATTTTTAAAAGAATAGTGAAACAAATGTTTCATGTAATTGAAATTTTATTACTTATATTTCTATAAAATAAAAGTTCTCAATTATCATTTGATAAATTTTCCAAATTTAGCAATAGATGAGAAATAATATACTTATGCTATAATAAATAATATAGTCCTCCATAGACTTTCAAGCATTTGTTTATTCTTATCTTAAATGCTTCAGGTATCTGCTCTCTAGGCACTCAACTCTTAATTTTCCCCATGCTTTGATCAAGAGAGCCATTTTGATAAATACAAACTTATATTAACTGGGGCTCTGATTTTAGACCAACCATACTAAAAAGTAAAAAAAGGTACAAATCTGTTAAATTTGGGTACTGTCTCTATGTATGATGAAATCAGGTCAGGAATATTGTGGCATCTTAAATATAATCTTACTCTGAAATTTTCTAAAATTTCTTTTTTTCTCCTCTTTTTTTTTTCCTGCTTGCGCAGTAATATTTCTTTCAACATTAAATATTTTGCTCTCCTATACAAATTTTCCAAAATCTTCATTTAATATGTAAGTCCTCTATTAACATATTAAAATTTTTTTAAAAAAAAAGTTACTGCAGAACTGGAAATAAACTTTTAGCTCACTGTTATTTTGCTTTATTTACAATTATTTTATAAACAATATTGGGTGAAAATTGTCTAGTGCATTTTTAGATTTTTCATATTTATGTACCTAAACTATTTGTTTGTTGATTAATAAGTTTATTAATTGGATTTGAATTAATAAGTTTATTAATAGTTAGACTTTAGTGAATTCAGATCTTTATGTATAAGATTAACATATTCTTAAATTAGTTTTGGTTCTAAGTAGTTTATTCTTTAAAAATTACTGTTTTATACTTACATATTTAAAATTGCCTTAAATACAGATTACTATGTATAAGAATATTTGTATTAGATGCGAATATAGAAAGACTAGAAAATAGATTTTTTGTAATACATAAAACTTTAATAAGCTGAAAAGAAACAAGTAATAGTTATGACATTTTGCAAGTACACCTAATTTATTTATTTACATGATATATGGAGTTAAAGATATTAAAATCTGCTATCCTCAAAAATAAAATTTTTGTGACATAGTAATCTTTACCTCCAATATATATAATATATAACTGACTGTAAACTAGATTTTTTTCTAAACATCTCTTTGCAGTGTAAGTTATTCTTATATTGAGTAGCTGACAGACATATTTTTGGGCATGTAAAATTCTATTTTTAACATTTTGAATGAAATTTATTGAGATATAAGCTAGAATAATTGTAATTTTATTTAAATCTAGGAAAATTATTACTTTAGAGAAAAAATCTTATTTGTTTTAAGCTTGCTTTAAATATTTTCTGGTAACTTCTTACTTCAAAATGTTACAATATTTTGTTTTATATTAATTGTGTTTTAATTTATAGTATGTGTGGAAAAATGTTAGCTAGTTATACATTTATATTAATCTGGTTTTAAACCTATTTTAAAATGGATGTATGTATTTTAAAATCAATGTGAATAGCATTTGGTTTTGCTTTTTCTATATATATAGTAGTATTCCAAAGATTTACTTTTTTGTTATGTAAAAAATGGTACAGTACCCTTATATATTATCTCGTATGTGCATTTCCATTTTTTTTCTTTTTGAAAATGTAATGTGCAGCAATGCTAACAAAAAGGATTACTTTTACATAACTAAGTATTTTATCTGTCACTTTAAACTTTTTTGTCTTAATTTCTTATTTGTTTTGAGACTATGTTGTTAAATAGTGATGCTTAGTTTCATGCAGTGTAAGAGCTGTTTCTGTTTTTTTCTTTGTGTTACTTCTGGATGTTTCAGTTTAACATTTTGCATGTTGGTCATGTTTCTATTCTTCCCTCAAATTTTTATCCTCATTTATGGTCTACAATTTTAATTTTAGTGCTTGGTTACACAGTGTAATCAAATGCTCATTACTAAATAATCAGGGTCAACAAGCTAAATATTTTTACATGCCCTACTGTGCATGCTAATTGACAAAACACTTTGTCAAACAAAACTTTTGCTTTATGCTTAATTTTTTTTTAAATACTTATTATTGAAAACATATCACTGTATTTGCAATAAAATTGACAGCATTGTTCAAGAAAGAAAAAGAACCACCCTAAATGACTTTTGATCTAATGATCTGATCTTCACACTTTAATACTCAATCTTGATGGCTCAAGGAGGTGATCTCTTATGTACATCATATATACTATCTAATAAGTGCAGACGATATTTCAAGTTGAGAAATCAAAAAAACAAAATTGTACTTTCTCTGAATAAACTTAAATTTTTTTCGACGGATTCAGATTTCGATCCCCATACTATAGACGGTAGCTGCAATCTGAGATATATGGTCCCAATAGTTTGGTCAGGTGAGCGTTTCAAAGTTTGGACCCCTTAATGCTTGATGTTAACTTTATTTTTTACGTATTTCATTTTATCTTGAAAACTTTTCAAGCAAATTGAAAAATATTTGCACACCATTCTAAAATTCTATATCCAAAGATAATTCCACTCAAAAAATAAATTTCTTATTTTTTATTATTTTATTTGATAATGGTTGAAAAATTTTTGAAATGTAAGTCATACAGTTTTTGCATCATTTTAAAGAACATAATTTATCATGTCAAAATACAAAATTTGCATGAAAAGTTCCGAAAAAATTGCTTATTCGAAATAGTCAGATATTTAAAATTGGATTTCTCAGGAACTATTTGACTGATTTTGCTTAAATGTTATATTTTGCCATGTAAAATTTTATTCTTTAAAATGATGCAAAAAATTTTTACTTTACGATTCAAAATTTTTCCGACCGTTATTTAAAAAAAATTATAAATATTTACTAAAAGTTATTTTTTGCATGGAATCTTCTTTGGATAAACGAATTTGATAATTGTGTGCAAAAATTTTTCAATTTGTTTAGAAAGTGGATAAATGAGTGAAAGTCGCTCCTGAGAAATAAAATTTGAATATTCAGAAATTATATTCAATTGATATCGTTGAAATTTAGTATCTTACTATATAAAATTACGTTCTTTAAAAGTGGTAAAAATTATATACCTTACTTATAAATTTCTATTTGTATTGCATTTCAAAACTTATCCTTCTAAAATTAAATAAAATAATAAAAAATTATAAATAATTATTAATAATTATTTTTAGCATGAAATTATTTTGGGATAAATGAGTTTTATAGTTGTGTGCCAAAATTTTTCAATTGACTGTAAAAGAGTGCTCTTGAGATATAGCAAAATATGTAAGTTAGAAATTAACGTTAAGGTGTCAAAACTTTGGAGCGCTCTCCTGATCAAATTATTGGGACCATATTTCTCAGATTGCAGTTAGCTCCTTTATTTTTGGAGTCAAAAATCCAAATCCGTTAAAAAAAAGTGTATTCAAATAAAGTACCTTTTGCGTGTCTGATTTCGTAGCTTAAAATATTCTCTTCCTTTATTAAAGAGCATATTTGAAGTCACCCCCTTGTGGTATGGTTCCTGTGTATGATGGAAAGAAACAACATTTAAGGGTACAGTAACAAAGAATGTTCTTTAAATGGCTTTGCACTAACTGTTTGCCCCAACCACTGCTGGGATTGGATAGGCAAAGGAATGCTTTCTCTTTTTATTTTTGGTTGACCTTTTTGCTGCATTTTCTTCCTCCTAAAAATAATATACAATTTATTAAGATATTTCTTTTGGGAATTCATTTATGTCACCTATGTTGATTATATCTGCTTGCACATTTTGATTTAGTACAAAGTAATAAAACAGGTTGGCGTGTGATAGTGTACCCAACCAGTTCAAGTGACTTAGCCTCTGACTGTCACTTTGCTTCTTATGTGCATACACTGACTCTTAGTACAAATGATATTCTGCTGCATCTGAGTATGTTGCTTTCCCTGTAAGTTGTTTTTCTGGTATAGCATCCCATTCTCACCATTCCCCTTTGTTCATTATGTTTCCAAAAAGCTAGACTTCTTCTCCTTTCTATTCGTTATGCATGATCAAGTTTCATTAAGTGTTTGAAATCGATCTTAATTAAGAGTTACAAAAATAAAGCTTTTGTTTGCAATGCTACTTAAACTTTTATGATCATTATTTATTTATGCACAGTTATTTTTATGCGGGTAAACTCTTTTTAATGAAACTAAACATAAATAGGGAATTAATAAAATAATAAGTTTTGTTTAATTAATACTTATTTATATTATAATTGTTTATAACCAATTAGTAACATTCTGATCTTGTGAAATATAATCACTTTTTTTTTCATTTTCCTTATCTTTTTGGTGGTGTTTATCGCCATGTAACATTGTGGCAATTTTAATCAAAATTTGAGGGGACATTTAATCAGTTAAGGTATTTCTGATTAAATATTTACACACCTAGTTACAAAATACATACCAGATCGGAATTCTTATATGATCAGGGCATGTCAAGCAATAAAATTTTCGAGCCCTGCTTTGAAGTATGTCTAAATTGACAATAAAATAATTTGAATTAGCACTTTATTTTGTGTAACCTATGTTAAAAATGATAGATATGCTGTAAGAACTAATTTATGAGCTTAAAATTATGAACATCGACGTAGTATACCAAAGATTTTTCTATGTATCGCATAATATGAAAGTCGTTTTGTAGATATTATAATTCCAAGAGGAAAAAGTTTATTAAATTAGTTAAAAGTATTAGAGTGTCAGACTTTTTACATTCTCAGATTAGTACAAAAAAATTCGATTGGCAGTAACGTTCTTTGGGGGCTTTATTATAAAAGAAGCTCTGATTAAAACTAACCATATTTGATTTTAGGGAAACTATTATACAGTATTTTGTTAAAATATATCTATATATTTTGCTGATTGATTGGCGATATGGAGAGCTAAAACTCTGGTAATTTTTTGGGTATTTGAATAAATGTAACATTTCATTAAGAACAATCAATTTTAGAGAAAGTTTCTTTATAAACAATTCAAATGAATTAAAGGTATTTAAGAACTTTAAAATGATTATGATATTTGTATGTATGTAAAAACTATTTTATAAATCAATTGATAAAAATTTCTGGATATTTAATTAAAAACTTTATTGGATGCAAGTATTATTTTTAAACATATTAACTTATCTATTTTAATTAATAAAAATTTCTCCCAATAAAAGAAATATCTACATTAGTATAAATATGTAAAGCTTAAATATTTTCATGTCAGTAATAAATTGTTGATTACTTTAAAAAATATATTTTGTGCAAAAATGTTATCGGCTATTCTCGATTCACATTTCAAATCCTTAACAACTGTATTAAATGTTAGGTAATTATTCTAGCTAACAAATAGTCAATTATTCAATTCTTAGCAAATATAAAAAGTTATTTGTTGACTTTTTTAAAGTGTTCAGTTGCCTTCTTTTAATAAAACTAGTGATGAAATATAAAGCTAAAATCAGTATATTGAACTTACTATTTTGCTATTACCATATTACTAGTATTGATTCTTACTATTTTCTTATTATTATTCAAAATTTTTCACAACTAAAGAGAATATGAATGTGTTGAAATCATCAGAAATTTATTCTATAATCTTTTTTTTTTGTTGATAATTTGATCTTTGAGTAGTGAAGTTAATAGTAAAAACTATTTTTAATGATTTATACCAATAAGAAAACCTTTCCATAAATTGCATGAAAATTGAAATGCGATTTTGCTTTATTCTGCAGGTTTTATTGATGAAGAATCTGAATCAAGTTGTGCAATATGTTAATAGAGAAATGAGTTCATTGAAAAAGAAATCTTTCTATTATATATAAAAGAACTGTGATGTAAAAATTGTAAATGAGTAAATATATTTTGAAATATTTCAAACTTAATCTTTGGATTTTAGTAGCTTATTTATTATAAATTTTTTAATCATCTGTTTCTGAGCTTGATTCTTATTATTTACAAATATAGTCTGTAACAATTCTTTTTTACATAAAATTTTGCTTGTTTTGTAAATAGATTTATTCCTTGCTCATTATTATGAACAAATGTGTATTTTTCTCTTGTCAGTGTAATTATTCTTGTAAATTTAGTTTTGTTTGAAAATTCAGAGCTGAATGGTATTTATTAAAAGCATCATAAGTATAGTCTTTTGTAAATCTTTTCATTGACATTATTTTCTTACATTAAATTTTCACTTTTTTAAATTTTATGTAAACTTTCCTAGCAAATTTTACAGAACTTTGCTCACTACTTGAATGATATGGGATTCAAATTGTTCAAAAACTGGTACCCTTAAAAATCTCCCCTCTTCGTATAATGAGCAAAAAAAAAAAAAAAAAAAGTATCACACTCAATAACTTGCATTTTAATGGTTGGGTTTTCACATACTAAGAATTAATCTTAATGGTTTCAGGGGGTGACCTTAATAGTGCTAATTTTGTAGTGCTAACTATTAAGTTACAAAATTGGACAGAAAAATGTACTTTCTCTAAATAAACATATATTTTCTTTTACATATTTCGATTCTTAACCTTCAAAATAAATAGGGGGTAGCTGCAATCTGGGAAATATGGTCCCCATAGTTTGATCAGGAAAGCGCTCTAAAGTTCGGACCCCTTAATTTTAATTTCACTTTTTGTGTTTTAAGCCATATTTTTAAAACTAATAAAGCAATTATAATAAAAAATTACACCCACTCATAAAACCCGTTTACCCAAAGATAAATAATCATTAAAAATTATTTTTTGCATGAAATTATTATTTATTTTAATAGTGGATGAAAAAATTTTGAACTTTGAGGCATAAATTTTTTAATACTATATTAGTCGAAGTATTTTTCTATCGCAAAATTCAAAGTTTCAGCAGTTTTTATTTAGTAGAAGCCGAGAAAAATGAAAATTAATTACTTTTAAAAAAATAATTTAATGGGGCGATTAATAATTAAATGTAGAGAACTTACGAAAAACTTAACTAATGCGCGCATAGTGTAAAATTTCATTAATATTTTTTTTGCTAATAACAGATTGCTAATCATTATTTTTTTAAATTATAAAATATAATGTTAGTCTTTTTTTAAATTATAAAATATGGTCTTTTTTAGTCGTCTGAAAATTTATTCATAATTTAATGAAGAGATTTGAATAAAAATTTTATTGAATAAAGTCGTTTTATTCAGCGAATGTCAAGTTTTATAAAAGCATGTTTCTGATAGAATGAGATTATACATCAGCTTTTTTTTAAATTTTATTTTTTAGTTTGTTCTTTCAATAATGTACAAACGTATGCATAGATTTCGAATAATATGTTTATCAATATCTACTTCATATAGTTTATAATTAATACGAATCGTAGTCAACGTTTTTAAACATCTTAAAATTCCTCAACATTTTATATATCGTCTTAATCTTAAAATAAATTTTTTACCTGCTATTTAGTTAAATTTTAACACATCTCAAAATCTTATTCTTTACCCTACTACACTTATATTATTTTTCCATTAATACACCAATTGTCTTAGTACTTTAATTTAGGTTTTCCTTTAAAGTAAAATTCTATTTTAAATTATTGTCTAGTTTTTCATTAAAAGAAAACTTAGAATTATTGCCAGCTAGCTGAGAATTGAATCTTTTTAGGAAATTCAAAATATTCTGCTGATCACAAAATTATTCAATGCAAAATAGCTATTTACTAAGCACCTTATTTTTCAAAAAAATGAAAATTAATTTTTTTAGTTATTTATAATGAAGAGTTGATGCATATATGTGCGCAGCAAAAGATACAACAGTTCGCTTTGTTTTTTAAATGAACAAAAAATCATGGACATAAAATTTTATTTTGACGTTCAAACTTATTCTCACCTACTAACTTTAAGAAAGTAGCCCTTTTAAAAAGGATAATGTTGAAAAAATTTGCTTAAAAAGAGAAAATTATTATTAAAAAGAAAGTTATGAGAAAATTATTATTAAAAAGAGAAAGTTATGAGAAAATTATTTCTCAACTTTAGCACAATTTCAAAAAAATATTGTTATATCAGAAAAGGCTGGATATGCATTATTTTGTTAAACAGCAAATACTAAAAATATAAAATTGTGAAAAGATTCCAAAAGCATGCTATTTTTAGAATCATCTCAAAAAATTGTTCTTTGTAACTTTAGAATTTCCATAATGCTAAAATGAGATATATTTAGAGATTTTTGGATAACTTATTTTATAGATGCTATTGGCATGTTTAGCAAATAGTTTTAATATACTTTTTTTGGAAATTATAAATAGAAATTGATCTTTTATTTCACCACAAAAAGACAAGAATGTTAATGTTTCTTTTATGCTCAATTGAAACATGACAATGATTTAATTAACCCCTGTGACAATGAAACATGACAGTGATTTAATTGAAATCTGTTTGGACATAATATTTAATTGCTTGAAATAGTCAGAAACAATAAGTTTATTAAAATTATTAGAAATTAAACTTATTATTTTATTTTGTTAAGAGCGGTAGGAAAAATGAGGAAAAGTAGTGAAAAGCCCCGTTTACCATCGTACTTACTATTCACACATTTAATTATCTAACTTGAGTTATTTAAGCAAAGAAATAAAATAAAAGGTAAAATATTAATACTATTGAAATATGTCCTTAGGTTTACACTAAAACATATCTAGAATAGATTTTGGATCGATGAATAAAAAATATAACTTCCAAAAATTTCGAATTCGGCGGACACGTTAACTTGTTCAAAATAATTGACTTGCAACTATTTAACTTCCAGGGGAGAGGGATCATTCCATTGTTTCATTCGACTTTTAAACTTTCACTTGTAGACAGAATTGTTTAATCTTATTCCTTCCAGAATTATTCCTTGCATCTTGGGGATAAATTTTCTCTTGATCAAAATTCTAACCACCCCTGCCACATCAGCTCACCTTGAAACCCGGGAATCTTGCTATGCTCGTATGAATGTCGATTCTTTTGTTAGTTTCATACCATCTCTCCATAGAATGTGGAAATTCATTTTGCCCTGATGTGCCTTTCCCGGCTATTGCGGTTTTTCTAGTTTTGTTTTATTAAATTTTCTATTTCACTCTTGTGGTACTGCGGTTTTTCCTTTTTTATTTTCCATTTTTATTTGATTTCTCAATTGCAACTTCATATTTTTGTTTGATATCACTTTTATTTTTCTTCATTCACGTCTTGCGAGTCTTAACAATGGTCGTTTATTTTCTTCATATTTTTTGAAGCTAATGAAGTTTTTACTATCAAGTATAATGGATCTTTCTTGATCATTATTTTGATCAGAATCTTACGTTGAAAGAAGCAAACATCTGTAAATTTATTATTTCAACAGGGTTTATGCGGTTCTTAAAACATATAAAAAACCGTGGCACTTATATTGAAATAAAGAAATTATGTTTAACTTTAAAATTAAAGTTTCAGAACAGTAAAGTTCAGAAGTTAAGATTTTGTTACCAAATATTTGAAGTTATATATTGAAATTGATTATTTAATACTGTGGTGAATATAACTGTAATAAAATACATTTATCTTCTTAGTTTGGCTGTCCCTATTACAGTTTCTTAAGGACCTTATCAATTCTGTTTAACAGGAGACTATCATATAAGATAAAAGTATGTAATGATGTAAAGAATCGTAAAATAAGTTTGTGATAAAAGCAATACAGCAATGAAATTATCGTAACAATATTTGGTGATCATAACTGTTGAACATGTTGAGCGACATTTTATGGTGAATTTACGAATATCTGTTTCAGAATGTATAAAAACATCAGGATGATTTTGCAAATTATATTTATCTAAAAATGAAAGGTTTAAAAAAAAATGAATCATACAATATTCTTAAACATACATTTTTCAATCTTTTTAAAATGACAAATTAATCATAAAATTGAATTTATTTATTTGAATTATGACAAATTAATCATAAAATTTTTTATTTACATATTATACAAAAAAATGGAATTTGAGGAGTGGATAAGCTCTGTGTCTACAAAGAGCAGATTCATTCATTTCTACCTGAGATAACCCTCCCCACTGACATTGAAGCTTCCAATATGCTATCTTCTAACATGGATCCTTCTAAAAAATATGAAACACAATGTATATATATATATATGNATATATATATATCACATGCAATAAATAACATTTTAAGTAATTTTATTACTATTATAAGGAACCTTATAAAATAATAAACATTTCAATAATTTTTTTTAGTGTGTTGGCAATTTGCATTCGGAATATTGTTTTTGGACTTGACGTCTCTCGATATTTTGCACCTGAGTTGTTTGTCCCCCGTAAATATGCATTAATTACAAAATTTATAATGTATAGATGTCAATAATGTTGTGTACTAAGTATTTTTAAAATAGTAAGCCTTTTATTATGAGCCTGCTAAAAGAAAAAATATAGTTTTTTTTAAATTATTTTTTTAAAATCAAAAGTAAGAGCTGTAACCGAAATAAACTTTTTAATGCGTATAAATTCGGAGCATACGGGCCTGGGGACGAGCTTCTTTCTCCTTCCATCGGTCCTGAAAGGGTTAACGTCGGTTCGTATTCAGTAAAGTTTCAAAGGCCAAAGAATAGTTTTCATATAATCCAATGATTCTTATAAAAATAATTTGCTTTTAACTATAGCCTTTACTTTAGTAAAAATTTGAATCAATCAAACTACACAATCTTGTTGGATTCAATTTTATCTGTCATCCAAAGACCGTCAGACAGATACTATTTGTGTGAAAGTAAAAAAAAAAAAAGACTTAATTTAACATATGTATAGCAAAATTTGTACTGATAAAAATTAAGCACAAATTTGTTTTAGTAATTTGATCGGTATATCTCACTTTTGCATTAATGTATTTTTCTTGGGATTTATTGTATTTTAGGAAAGGGTATAAATACTATCCTTACCAAGAATGTTTGGAAATGAATAATTTTTCTAATTTTTTTGTTTATTAATTTTAGAAAGTTCAGTTAATTTGAAAGTTAATTTTATTAGAAAGAATCAAAAATATCAAGTGATCTAAATGAATTATAATGAGAATTATTAAGTGAATTACCATTAATTAGAATGGATCAATTTTCTTGCATATATATTTAGATTTTGAAGGTTTTGGGGTAATCCCCACCGACCCTACCCATTTATGGCAGATTATTCCCTTCTTTTCCCAATATTATCTTTACTCTTTTTCATCTTCACTACTTAATTGAGCAATTTTGAATTCGTTTTTTTTTTTTTCATTTTCTTTTTTTTCCATTTTAAAATCTGAAATGTGATATTTGCAAATCCCGCTGTCGTGCTGTAGTGTTTCTGCTATCAGATAAATTTTTACTTGATCCTTTGTTTTTTTTTCTTTCTGTATATGCTTATTTAACATTTAATTTTATAATTATCAAAATATACTCGTCCTTTACGATATTGACAAAGTATACTAAAAAGAAGACTTGCGAATGTTAAATATTGGTACCTGTTTTCTGCATGACAACCTCTTAGGTGTATTTCGAGCCTATCTGGAAGGAATGTCCGACCGCAATTGCTACAAGGAATCAACTGCTCTAAATGCATTTGCCAAGCTGCCTCAGACATGGCAGCCGTGTCAAAAGATCCATCGCCTGAAAAATACGCAAAATTAATTCGTAACTTTCTCTACATTCTACTCATATTAATTGTGTTCTAAATTTTAATGGTTAAAAAAGTATATGTGCGTCTTGGTAGATCAAATGTTTGACAGAGTAATTAAATTAGAAATAATCAGAAACATGTAATTGAATAAATTTTAGAAATAATTCATTAATATCCTATCGAAATGCGATGTATACTGAGCAAAAATGAAGTGAAAAAATTAATGTTACTCTGGATGACTTTTGTTCTAATAATCGGTTTTTCACAGAAAGTGCCGACCTTACTGATTCAAAGTTTTAATTTCAAAATAGTATTCTAACTAATTAATGTAACTACAATCATACAATCCATTATAGTGAACCCAGTCTGCAGACCCAGTAATATATCCACTATAAACAATTGATTCCCTATATCCAAATTTTTTGAAAAATATTTTTTTGCATATGATAGTTGAATTTTTGAAAATAGGAATTGTGATTTTGCATAATTTGCTTAAAAAATTATTAGCGAATTAAATAGAAAATATATCAAACTTTAAGGCGAAAAATTCTTACTTAGTTAAAAATTGGATCTAATTTTAAGTTTTACGGAAGAAATTAATTATTTTTGATTGAACACAATTTGATTTTATGTAGAATTTATCAACTTTCTTATCTACAATATTCAAAGAATTCAAGATTTTCTGATCCACATTTTCTGTAAAATATTCAGGATATTTATTGCTTGGTTTTTCTTTAGATATAGGTGATGCTGAAATTTCATTTTCTTCCAACAAGTCTTCCTTAGCTTCGTCCTTTCATTTAATTTCGGAGACATTGTTACCGTAGTACCTGAAATGTACGATTCATCATCGCAATATTCGAATTGCTCTGTAACATTCTTAGGAATACATCCCTTGTTTTTCTAGCCACAGAGTGGTAGATAAATTGCCTTTGTCAATTTCATCCTCCACAGTGGAGTCTTCTTGTAAATCCTTCGAAAGACCTGCTGGTCGGAAACAGTTACGGATTGCTGTTGACTAACTAGAAGGCAAATGTTATTATCAGTGTTCGTGTTTTCTTCGTAGTTATTTTGAAACAAGGATCACTAGTTGTTTCTTATAGTGGGACTTCAGGCTTCCGAATAACGCCCTGATTGCAACACAGGCTGCACACAGGCGGGCAACACAGACGGGCTGCAACACAGAAGTCTTATTTGGAGATAGAATTACAAGCACTTTCAAAATGGGGGTAAGCTGTGTGCACCTGCAAGTTTAAAGTTGGAGGACTGAAGAAAAATTAAGGAAATGAAATTTGAGTCCGCTATAACCGAACTACCGTTTTGACAGCTGTTCACTATAAGCGTTTAAAAAAGCATTATTTAAATGGGAGTTCGGACGAGACCACTAAAAAAGTTCATTACAACCAAGTGTTCACTATATCCCAGATTCAATATAGCGGGATTCGACTAGGAAACATTTTTTTTTCTTTTCAAATAAATGTATTTTTTTCCCTGACGGATTTCATTTTTTGTCTATCAAAATAAAGGTGGGGTAGATTGCTGCAATCTGTAAAACATGGTCTTAATATTTACAATAGGTGGGAGTGGACTGAAGAAAGTTTGAGCCCTTAAACCTTATAGTTTCACGTGTTGCGTAGTTTTTATTCGGAAACTTTTAAATGAATCAAAAAATTGTTGCACAGAATTATAGAAATCGTTTATTCAAAGGTAATTAGTTCAAAGGTATGTTAAGCTAAATTTTCAATATATACTTTAAATATTTATTATAAATGATAATGATCGAGAAAATCTTGAGTCATAAGGTTTACAAATTTTTACATCATTTTAAATAATTTCAGAGGACAAAATCCTAAGTTTGACAGAAATCGGTTGACTAGATCTTGAGAAATAAAAATTCGGCGTTTTTCATATTGTTATGGAAGAGAGTATAAAGTCAAAGATAACTGAACAAATAAAATGCGTCTCAGTTCTTGTCAGACCAATGAATCAGTGAGTATGCGTGTCACTGAACAAATGACATTTTTTTTATCGTAACACAAGACCAGTATTTTTTACACAATCGGAAGAAATTTTATGTGGGAAACTAAAATTGAGTCTGAAGAAGAAATTTTTGGATACAGATTGTTTTATTTCTGTAAGCAAGATACTTGTTTATTAGTTAATTGGCTACGCGGTTATGAGCCTACCAAAAAAACCTATATTTAAAAACTAAACTATTGGCCTTGTACAGTGGATTTTAGCATACGTGTCATCAGATAAGATTGCCAAGAATATGGATGTAAACAGAAGAGTAGAACGGAAATATTTACGTAATTAACGCATTTAGAGAATCATTTGGAATTTTTTTAAAATTAGTTATTGAAAATTAAGTATCATGTCATAGTTTTCAAATCCGATAACCAATTAAACTGAGACGGGAACAGTAGGCCTTGGCCCTCTATGGGCTGTCACGTCACTGAGTTTGAGACATATAACCAATTAAAAGTTAACTGCTATCTTTTTTTAGTTAAATAAGGCTTTTTTTTTCGATGAAATTAAATTATGGGTTTTGATACAAAAAATACTAGCCGGAGGTGATAAAATCATTTCAACATGTATCACAATAAAATAAGCATAACTCATAGAAAATGAAAAACATAAAATAATTGTACTGATGAATATTTGTAAATTTTGCATATTTTTGTACAACAAGTACTCAAAAGTGTCGAAGTAATTATAATAATAAATAGATTAAAATTTTGTTTACTTCTTAAAATTATTTCCGGTTTCTTTGGCTCCTTTCTCCTTAAGTTTTTTGGCAGCCTATCATTCTCTAAATGCCATTTCTTCAAACAATGCGGTTCATGTAGACTGATGGATTTAGTTCCAAACTGTCGTCCACAAATGTAACAAACTACTGTTGGTGGTCGTCTTGTAGCAGCTTTAGAGGAACCTAAACCTCCTATCTAAAACACAATCAATCATTATAAATGGTTTTGCTCTAGGGATCATAAATTGCAATTATATACACCGAAGAGCCATTACATTATGACCACCTTTAGCACTCAAAACTGCTAGCACCCGCCGTGGCATTGATTTCACAAGGTGCTGAAAGGTAGTTTGAAGTATCTGGTACCAAGCGCTCACCAACTAGTCCTGCAATTCTCTCATATTACGAGGGGGTAGCGTGGCAGCGCGAATTTGGTTTTCTAAGTAGGACTACAAATGCTCTATTGGATTAAGGTCAGGTGAATTTGGGGGCCAAGACATGACTTGATAGTAACTGGAATGTTTCTCGACGATCCGACCCTCATGACATGGTGCATTATCCTGTTGGTAAACACCATCTCCCGCAGGAAAAACTGTTGCCATGAATGGGTGAACCTGGTCTGCAACTATGTTCAAGTAGCTTACAGACGTTAGGGACTGTTCTATGAGGATTATGGGTCCTAATGTGCCCCATGAAAACATTGTTCCTGGGCGAGAAACCATGAAAACCTGGGTGAGCCCATTGTTATAGATGGAGGGTGGTCATAATGCAATGGCTCTTCGGTGTATATTTTTTTGAAGAGATATAAATAAAGTTTAAAATAGACGTTTTTAAAAATTTATTAGAGAATGTTGTATTTGTTATCATTAGAGATGCGCACCAATCAATGTTGCAAGGAAGCCATATAGTCAATCTTTCATCAGAGATTTTATTTTTCATATGAATATCGTAGAATTTTATCGAAAATTTAACAAAATATATACGAAGGGCTTAGGGTAATGTAATGATAAGCCACATTTTTAAACTGTTCAGGTAAGCGATTTTGAGAAGGAAAAACAACAAAACATGATTTTCATGTAAGCGAAATGAGATTTCTGTGTATTGTACTCTTATCTCGTGTGAATTCTAGGAACTTACAAAGTACATATCTAAACAATATTAAGAAACAGATGTAAAATTGTTTCATTTCGGAAAAATGTGGCTTATTGTTATGTTGTTCGAAGATCTAGGCGAGATTTGGGCACAATGTCGGGCATGGCATTGCGTCGGATGCATTTTTTAATAAAAAACTAATATAAAAAATTTAAATTTTTAGCTTTTTTTTTAAAACAGGTTACCTCAGTTCATGTAAAAATTATCTTCATGAGCTACTAAACAATGGAATGCCACTCTTCTACTGGTCAATGGCACAAATAATCAAATCAAAACAGCACACGTGTGACGAAAAAGGTGTGTTGGATTCTCATTTTTTTTAAATGCAATCATCAGGTAATGTTTTTATAAGTCATTTGTGACCCACCCAGAAGATATGCTGAGTGCCTAATTTTCCCCATGGGTCAAAATGCCTATCGATGAAACTGAACTGTGGCCAAACTGCACTCATTGTGATTGTTGTCTTTCTCTCCAGGGGATCAGTTTTGGCTGGCATGTGTTTGGTTTATGGCTATTTCCGGAAACAGTTACAAATAGAAGGATTTCTATTTTATTTACTTTTGAATAGTTAACACCTATAAGGACTAAAGGTGCTAAGGTGGAAATATAAATTCTTATTTATGAAATTTGCTTTTAATTGCTATTTAAGACTATTTCCATTCATCGTGGATATTAATAAGACATGTTATTAATGAATATTTAATTTTAATAGCCACTTCTAATTTGTCTTTTCTTAATTAACTGAAACTAAGCTTAACGTGCAAGTGTATGCACATAGTTGTAGGGCTACTGTAGTATGTCAAAGTTAAACTTACTTCGATTAGAATGAAGGTTAGTTACTAGCATATCACTTATTAGGGTATCGATTTAGGTTAATTTTGTATAGTATGTAATTTATTTTAAATTTTTTTCAAAATTTTAGACTTTTACTTACTATTAAATTTGAACAATGGAAAAATTGAAAAAAAACAAACTAATCCTAACAATAGATTAAATAAGAATCGTAAGAATAGATAAGGTAGCAATAGATCAATGATGGAATTTCAGTTCCGAAGAGACTAGTTGGATTGAAAAAATTTCTCTTCACTACATTGCATTCATGAAAAATTTAAAATTTTTTTTAAATATTATTAAATTTGAATGTTATGTGGTGACCAAAAGCATAAAATAATGTAGAAACTTAAAAATCGAAGCATATTTATTGCAGTAATAATTACATTAAATCAAAATAATTTGTCTTAATGTTTCATTGCTTTTAAAGGCATTGATTTTATAAGTCAAAAATGAGTGACCCTTCTTTTTTTCTTTTAAATATAAGAAAAATATCACTACTTGATATTAGATACTTCCATGCTACGTTTCAATGAAGAACGATTATATGAGCGTTCATAGTATAGTTTAAAACTCGATTTTTTTTTTGATTATAAAACTTATTCACCAGTCTTAAATAGTTGATCGCCATCGCCGAGCTGGTGAGTGGAAATTTCTCGCCCTGCAGGTTAAATATTAAATTTTAAGACGAGTCTACACTATTTCCAAGTCGTAGGGCTAGTGTAAACAAAGAATGAATTTTTTGTAATAAAAAGTATATAGCCTAATTAATATATATAATTTAAAAAGAAGATAAACGAACAAATTATAATTTCTGTGAACGCACTTTGATAGATACGAGATTTATTGGCACGAATCATCCTATCATCGTAATTGTTTTTCAGTGTCAAAATTATATTTAGTTGTAACATTATTGAATCCTTGTTTTAATCTATATGAATTTTTTTGTTGTTGCCAGAATTATACTTATGCTAAAGAAACTATAAGGCGGCCTTAAACTTTTCGCTAGCACTGAAAATATTTTTTAATTTTTTAAATTGTTTTAACTGTATTAGAGAAAAAAATACACTCGAAATCACTAGAAATTTCTAACTGAATTGCATGTTTACGTTGCATTTTACCAACATTAAACTGATATACAGAAGAACTTGTGTTCGATCCCTAGTGGCGGCTTAAGGCCCATCCAGCTTCAGATATATGGGGTAACAGCTTATCTGGGAAGCCAAAGCGGCCTGTGCGCAGTGCTGGCCACATTACCACAATCACGTAGGTGGTCACGAAATTAAGGAGCCTTAATCTCTATAATATTCCTAGACAACAATGGCCTGTTGCGGGAATACTTTAATTTTAAAATGGTATGCAAAAGGAGATGAGTCGTGATGGCCCAGCTGTTAAGGCACTGAGTGAAATACTGGTGTTCTATTACGGTATCGATTTGATGGCCACTCTGTTTCAGCTTGGTGCGCAACGCAACCGTCATGCCTTTGCTCATGGAATAGAGGAACCTTAACTTCATTGATCACAACGGGCTGATACGACGAGCATATATATATAGCATTTATATATATATATATATATGTAACGAGTATATATATATATATGTAACGATATATGTAGACGAGCATTTATATATATATATATATATATATATATGTAATACAAAAATTATAAATAATTTTTTATTGATAAAACCATTAAAACTCTTTCGTTTTCATAAAATGTCTTTGGTAAAGAATAGGTGTAGAAATTCTATTTTGAGACTTCAAGGCTGAAAACTACCATTGAATTATAATTAGATTTATACTAAGGGAGGAGTTATTTTTAGAATTTTGCTCCTCTTTCACTTCCATATTAGGAAGCATTAAATGATTTTATATAATGCGTAGAGTTACAAGGTATGTACGACTGGAACCTGTTTACATCAAAATCTGTAGCTATTTAATGCGAGACCGATGGTTTTCGCATGTCTCTTGCTGAATAACGTTATCCATAAAATATCTGTCGGAATCATCCGGAGTTTTGTCCACCCCCTCCCTTGTGGAGTGGGGATGTGAGCTGTTATAACCACCAGCCTACCTTTAAATAAACATATATATNATGACATATTACACACCTGCAAATATATATTATATATATATATATATATATAAAATGGGGAGGTAAAAGGTGATTTGAAAATACAAAGAAAAACTGGCAGATATTGAAAGGTTCTGTTGAAAAAAATATATAATTGCTTTGTTTTATCGGGAGGTGGTGAGAAACTAATATCGTTAGAAAGAGAATCTGCATTCATATGAACAAAACAAGATTCCCGGGTATCAAGATGTGACAGGGGTGGTTAGAGTTTTGCAATATCGAGATTAAATTTACCCCCCAAGATGCAAAGAATGTGTAGCAATAGATTTATCGCATTCTTGAAAAAAGGATTTATCTACCGTGTTCCTTTAGCCTAAATGAGTACTTTAGTCTTTTGAGAGCTCTAAACATTTGCTTCAACCGTTTCCATTCTCAGGGGTCGATAGACGCTATTGACTTATGACGTGAATTTTTGATTGCTCAAAACATGACTACTTTGTATTACATTTTCATATTTCTAGAAGATAATGAAATTTTAGTTTCCCGCTTTAATTTCTGGGGATTATTCATTTAATGACACAACGTATTAAATTAAAATATTTAATGCGATATTAAAATTAGTTTTATGTAAGGTAATGGTTATGGCTCTTAAATTGCAAAAAAACATAATATTTTTGATTGCTCAAAACATGTCTACTTTGTATTATTACATTTTCATATTTCTTGAAGATAATGAAATATTTATCTTCCCGCTTTAATTTCTGGGGATTATTCATTCAATTACACAATATATTAAATTAAAATATTTAATGAGGAATTAAAATTGGTTTAATGTAAGATAATGGTTATGGCTCTTGGATTTAAAAAAAAAATATATAATTCATCAAACTTTTTAAAAAATTCAAAGCAGTACATTTTTATTTAGTTATTATTTTGCTTTATTGTTTTTTTTTTTTTTTCTTTTTTGGCTGCTGCTCTGAAAATAATTTTTTAAGACGTTAAACAATTCCGTCTACAAGTAAAATTTCAAAAGTCGAATGAAACGATGGAATGACCCCTTTCCCTTGGAATTAAAGTTAAGTAGTTACAAATCAATTATTTCGAATAAGTTAACGTCACATAATAAATCTAAGTAAA